GGCAAACATTCTTGCTGAAATCGACGCTCTAACACCCGAGACGCTCGGTAAGGTAATGGCAAACGCAGAAAAGTGGAGGCATTTTGTAATTGCTAATAAAGTCCACTTGATTGATTGAGATTGTTTTTAAAAACTAGTCCGAAAAATTGTAAGAAACCGGACCGAATAAAAATACATCACTATAAATAGAGGGTGCTTTTTCCTCAAATTTATTCAATGCTTACATACCGACATAAAAGATGGAGCACACCCTGTACATATGAATAAATTCATACATTTCATAAAAGCTAAACTTTTTTTACTCATTACCAAATTTCATTTGTTGTACCTCTTACAAAATGTTTGCAATTAATTTATATTTTTTTATATCTTAACATTAAAAGTTAAATGTTTCGGTCGCGCCTCTCAGCTGCAATTTGCAATTTGCTAAAATCCCAGAAAAGGTTAGAAATCGCTCACACCCAAATTCCTTTCGGTTTTATCATAAAGTAAACACTTCGTTGACTCATTGGCAGCGGCATGAAAATATCTTGAGAAAAAGTTAATAACACTGCAACAAGTGCTCTGAAAATACATGAATAATTTTTATGAAGAAAGCATTTGTTATCAGAGGAGTTATTTTTGTTTACTTATAAGAACTCCACCCTTCCAGCTTTTTTTTTTTATCAGTTTTATTGTTGTGAGTGCACTTATTTTCGTTAAATATGTACCTACATTATATTATGTACACTTGTGTGCTTGTAAGTTCATGCCTATTATTGGCTTTGTTGACCACAAACCAAACCATTGTCATTGAGGCGATATGTTATCATATCTACAACACCTCATGCTCTCAGTTTGGGTGGCACTTTGGGGTTTCAATATTCCCACCGATATTTTCCACGAACAAGTGTATGGGTATTGTGTCGGGGAATGTGGTGGTAAATGGCAAAATTATTGTCTGCTCTTGATAAAGAGTCAATATATATTTTGAGTTTATACTGTCTGCAGAACGGCAATGAGTTTTGTAAAAGATAACACGAAAATATTTTAATTTTGTTATCTTTGGAACTTTTTATTTTCGGAACTATATAGATATACTCGTGCGGTTTTTTATATTTTTTATAGCGAATCGAATTTTTTGGTGAAATATTTCAAATTTTCTTTTTAATACTTGTGATCGCAAAAAATATCAATAAAAGAATTTTAGTCTCGGAACAACATTTATTTTGGATAAAAAGTAATTAAAAGATTTGATTTTAAAATATTTGGCTATTTTTGTTAAAAAAATGGAGATCACAACAATTCGATTAAAAATTATAGAAAAAATAATTTGCAATGCATTGATTGAAAAACTGAATAAAAATAAGCACAGATTTGAGAAGTACATGCAAGGGAACGTTTTTTGGGTTGTGAGGGTTGATTAGGCTCACTGAGATCGTAACGTGTTTAGTGACTCATAATTAGTATAAATTCAATGTTTCATTCATTCTTATTAGACAATTAGACTTTCAACTATCGTCAACCAAGAAACATAATCCAGTGTAGAAAGTGATATATGGAAAAAATCGAATATCGTGCCGTTATAAAGCACATTACCAAGCATGGAAAATCAGTTGCGACTATAATGAGTGAGATGTCATTGGTTTACGGCGATTGTTGTCCGGGGAAAACCATGATGTACAAGTGATCCCGAGGCCGGATGGGAGCATCGACGTGATCATGCCGGAAATTATCCAACTATAATTGGCGCTTTGTGACCGCTGAAGTGATTTTCGGCCGAGATTGATTTTTTTCCAACAAATTAACCAAAAGGTTGAAAAAATAAGAAACAACTGTTAGAAATGGTTGGAATATCCGGAGTGGTTATCACTTTTAAAATCGTAACATGGCTTAGGTCAACTGTAATGATTAATTCCTCCGCCAAAACACCAGCCGCAAGAGTCGCATTGCTTTAGCCGCCCTGCGTAAAGTGAGTTTCGATATTTTGAAACATCCACCCCACCGCTCAGACCAGGCCCAAGCCCGAGGAATTATTACCTGCTTCCAAAAATGGAATAGTGTATGGTATAGCTTGAAGTCCAACAGAAATTGGAAAAAAGTTCACTCAAAGGGATTGGAAACGTAGGATGATTCATAGATTTGAGCGTATAAACCCTAGAAACCCATTTTCACGTATTCTGATTAGGATAATTTGTCTTTATTGGATAGGGTATACTTCGAAGTTTGTTCGGTTCCTCATAAAACTGATAAATTCAAAACCGTAAGCGTGAAAAAATTGCTGTGGTTCTATGTAAGTTGCGTGTTATTAAAAAAGTAAACCGAAATGAAGTATAATTTAAATAGTAAATTAGCGTAAAAAAATTACAAAATGAAAGCTTAAAAGAGTGTAACCACAGAAAAATTAATTAGCAAAAAATAATAATTTTTTCATTTAGTTATAATAAATAAATTCTTAAACTAATTTTGCGTCGGCGGCAACAATTACATTTGAAACATTATGCGCGGCGTCAACTCGATACAACGCTTCGCCTGAAAATGTCAAGCGTACACGAAGTTGAGCGAGACAACAACCTGAAGAGGCACGCGTGAGTTGTGGGGTAGGGGCAGGTCTAGTTGTGGAATATGTTGGATATTTCCCTGAGAGCGATAAGTATTATAAAGTACTTATATGTGAAATCTGACAAAAACAGTGCGTACTATACTGGAACGTATGGAAATAGAGACAGAAAATAATTTAGGTTTGCTTTAAACACTTGAAGTACTGAAAAATTTCGAATAGGCCGATTGGGCGACATTCTCACAACGTTATAGCCCCCAAAGCATTCAGAGTTAGACAAGCCAAAGAAAACAAATACAACTACATAGTTCGCAGCGGGCAGAGGATTTCTGGATTCATTGTTAATTTTATTTGATTATAAATTTAGACAAAAATACATTAGTTGATTTAGAATGAGAATTAGAATTTATTTATAAAATGAAATTTATTATTTTTTAGCCTTTAAATTTTATTTTAGAGTTTTGAGTAAATTTTTTTTATAGTTCTTCTGTTTCGCTTGATTTAATTTTATTCCGATTTCCAACAGCTGATATGTTTATATGCAGATGCTTACATCAGACGAAGCTTGTCGTTTCAATATTGAACTTTTGCTATTTATACACACAGTTGCTAAACTTTCGAAGCTAATTTTTCCCATTCTCCATCGGTTGTAGGAACAAAACACAAATTACTCTTGTCGATTTTCTTTGTCTACAATTTTTCACATTTTCCAATGAAACAACGACTGTGGAGTTTTTTCGTATAAATGTAAACATATGTATTTATAAATGTGCATACATACATATATGTATGTATGTGTATGCATGAACAATACATGTTTTAATTAAACTACAAAAACTTCATTGTGTTCAAAGCTCAACGAAATCTATGTAAGTAAAAAATTACTCATGAAAACAAAAAAAGAATAAAAAAAAACAGTCAGCAATCTATTCTATCTACATATATATGTACATGTGTATGTATATAAGTACATATTTATACTGCGCCATAACTCTTTACACAGTTTCTCAACTGTTTGAAATGCATTAAATTGAATTGATTTGAATTTTTACACATTGACACAGTTTCCGTTCCGTTCAGTACATACATATGAACTTACTTATATATGTACATATGTACGAGTACGAGTATGTACATTTACATATCTATTTAGTCATAGTTAAGACACGTTGATGCATACTATGAGTTACCTCAGTTATGTATGGATGTATGTACATATATACAAATACAAGTGTGCCCATATACATATATACGTATATATCTGTATATATGTATGTATGTATATTTAAAGTGATCGCGTGACACCTTTTCGAATATTCCCTCATGCCGTTCATTGCGTTAAAAAACCATTAGTTGATTTCCATAAAAATGCGTAGACTTAATTGAACTTTCCGCACAAATATATAATAGATAGTTTTAAGTGTGTATGTTTTCCAATTATTTTTGGTTTTTTCCTCTCGACACGCTTAACTTTGCATAAAATCAATTTTATTTAACCCTAAGTTTGCAAAATGAATTTTTTATGATCAGAGTGTGTACTTTCTATGATATTTTAAATGAAATAATTGTATTTTATGTAATTAAAATGTAAAAAATAGTAAAAAGTCGAAAATTTATGTCCAAACTACAAAGTTTTATCGTTCAACAAAAATAAATATTTTGAAATTTATTACTCCATGCTTTTTCTATTATCTACATTTTCTATTTATCATGAAAAACAAGAAAAATGAGCTGAAAATTTGGTTATAGGGGTCCAGATGATACAGTCCTCCTGTTTCGATGATTTTCGGTGGCAATGTTTATTTGTATACACACATGTATAGCACAAATTTGTATGCTCTTAGATTCTTTTTTGACGAATTTTTTACCTCATATCTGCTTATGAGGGTTTTGTGTTAAAGTAGTCCGGTTTCGATCATTTTCGGCACCATTGTCTAATTCATGATATATGTGGAGAATACCAATTTTCACGCTCTGTGATAGTTTTTTGACCCAAAATCTCAAATCTGACAGTCCAACAAATGCGCATCTGTGTAGCGATTTTGGGTGAAATATCTCAAAAACTGCTAGACCACATGCGTACAAGTAAACGGAAATTACCTCAGCACGTCATACCTATCCGATCGGTACAAATTTTGATGAAATTATCTCTTCACCTTCTTCACTTACATATTTCGCACCAAAGTTAATATACAATTTCATATACATGAAAGGTATAAATACCAACTGAGAGAATACAGAAGTTCTTTATGCATGTACACGACGCCATTTTCGCATTAGCGTGCTAATTGTTTAAGTTTATTTAAGTAAAAAAAAGTCGTTTTTAACAAATACGCGCATTCTGCTTCGGCAATTGTTTGTTTGCTTCTAAAAAATTAACTGTAACATTTTATTTATTTGTAATTGAAATTAGATAGAGAAAATTAATAATTTTACGCTTTTATTTACCGTTTCATTTTAGGATTTCAATGAGCAATGCCCATACTCGCTCTCACCGGTCAGTACGAAGAGTCAAAAGCTGTTGCGTTCACCGCGAAAAGCAACAAGAAAAATATCCCGCATACCCTTTAAGGTGAGTAAATGAAGCAAATGTTCATAAAATGTAAAAAAAATTTGACTAATAATTTGATTTCTTAACCTATGCAGGTATTAGATGCGCCCGAACTGCAAGATGATTTTTATCTGAATTTAGTCGATTGGTCATCACAGAATGTGCTCGCTGTCGGTTTGGGCAGTTGTGTTTATCTTTGGAGCGCATGTACTAGTCAAGTACGTATGATAACAGCTGCTGAATTGTACATACACACATACATATACAAATATTACGTTTTTTTTTTATAACAATTCGCACTACTCTTCGTCTGTCTACCTATGTTTCTAAGCGCAAAACTTTATCATTATTTCTATTTATTTTCAATCAATCAAATTGATTTGTATTTTTAATTTACAGGTAACACGCCTTTGCGACCTTAACACCGATTCGAATACCGTCACATCGGTGTCATGGAATGAACGTGGCAATTTGGTGGCAGTTGGTACACATCATGGCTTTGTCACTGTTTGGGATGTCGCTGCTAGCAAACAGGTGTGTAGGCTAACTAATACAAATATATATGTACATGTACATTAGGGTGATCACATAAATTATTATTATAATATTAGATTTACGATGAAATGAATAAATAGTGCGAGCTTAATTTTTAAGTTAATTAAAATTACTAAAGAATGGCGGCAAAGAAATGATGACGGCTTTAACTAATTAACTTAATTTAATTTATACGAGATCTAATATTTAAGAATATAAATATTTAAATTTGTATACCTAGTACCTAGCTCAAAAGTAAAAAAGTTAAAAAAAACTTCATAGGAAGAGTTTGTGCAAGACGAATCCTGGAAAAATGTGAGAAAATTCTTAAAAAAGTATTAACCGCACCCTTAAGGGTTTTCAAGAGATTATTCGGACAGGAAAAATAAAATATTCAACAATAGTTTTACCGTAAAAAAAATTTATTTTATACCAGCAATTTTTTGTATTTAAAGTTATACATTTGAAAAATAATTTGTGAAATTTTCAAGAGAAAATATTCATAACTCCGCCAATGTGACGTAATTTCTAGTGATCCTTCGAAAAAAGGTTCGTCTACGTTGACTATAGAATATATGATAGGATCATCCAAGATGAAAAAAGGAAATTGTGCTTTAGCCAATACAAAAAATAAAAAAAAAAAACAAATTTTGGTAGAATTCACTCAGCATTTTTTAATAATTGTGATTAACAAACAAACAAAAAAATAGTTTCACGTGAATTGTGTCTCGAAGACCTGTGTAAACTTTCATCAAGATTGGTTCGATAGCTTTCCAGTACCTCTGTATCTCCGAAATTTTTATTCGGATTTATTAGAATATTTAGGATAATATTCTCAAAATGTTTTCGAAATTTATAAGACAATAAAAACCCGATTTTTTTGAAGCTGTAAACCTTTTAGGATAAAGCGATTTCTTTCTACGAAGTTATTTCTCATAGGTCATTACTAGATTTGTAAAGTTAAGTAGGTTGTTGTGGCAGGATTTGAGTACTTAGAGAAAATATCAATTGGACTGATTTAGATTGTTGAACAAAATTATTTTTCTACAATTCTGGTCTGAACTGGCTTGTCGCGATTGAAGTACTTAAAATGAATAACAAGAGAATGGCAATGACAATTCAATAAAAACCTAAACTTTGTTGTAGTACCTCAAAAAATTGCCATAACGTTAACTACGCCTATACTTTTTAAGATATTATAGAAAATTATACAAAATTTAAAATGATATAAACTATAAGGCTCTTCTATTAAACTATCTTCTCTCGCAGATCAACAAACTGACGGGTCATTCCGCACGTGTGGGCGCTTTGGCGTGGAATGGTGAAATTTTATCCAGTGGCTCACGTGATCGTTTGATAATACAACGGGATACACGCACACCAGCGCAACAATCTGAACGCCGTTTGGCCGGTCATAGACAGGAAGTTTGCGGTCTCAAGTGGTCACCCGACAATCAATATCTAGCGAGTGGTGGCAATGATAATCGCCTGTATGTATGGAATCAACATTCACTTAATCCGGTGCAATCGTATACCGAACATACAGCAGCTGTGAAAGCTATTGCCTGGTCACCACATCATCATGGCTTATTGGCTAGCGGTGGTGGTACTGCCGATCGTTGTATACGATTTTGGAATACATTAACTGGCCAACCGATGCAATGTGTCGACACCGGTTCGCAAGTATGCAATTTAGCATGGTCCAAACACTCATCCGAATTAGTATCGACACATGGCTATTCACAAAATCAAATCTTAGTTTGGAAATATCCCTCACTAACACAAGTTGCCAAATTGACGGGTCACTCTTATCGTGTACTATATTTGGCATTAAGTCCGGATGGTGAAGCGATCGTGACGGGTGCTGGTGATGAGACGCTACGCTTTTGGAATGTTTTCAGTAAAGCACGCAGTCAAAAGGAGAACAAATCAGTACTGAACTTGTATACCAGTATAAGATAAATATCTGCTGGAGCGGGCTTTTAAATCTTGCTTAGTAATGGAGCATATTTATACAATAGTTAGAAAATTATTGAAATCCTATTAATGCTAAAGAACTCTACACATAATTATATAGGTTGCACAATGGAAAGAAAACAAATTACGAATACAAAATGAATTGTAAACGTAAAAAAATTAAATTTATTCCTCAAGCGAAGCAAGTCAATGCAGTCGAAATTCATTTGTACGTGCTTATGGTAAATTATAGTGTATAAAAATTAAAGTTCATTTCATAAATAGTATGAGTTCGATAATTAATTTGCGGTATTGTCTAAAAAGCTACAACTTTTTATGAAATTTACTTTTCAGTTCATTATGGCGTATATGCCAGATATTATTTAAATTGCATTTTACTTTTTCAAAAAAAAAAAAAAAAAAAAAAAAATATATACGTGTTTCAATTTGCAATTGTTATTTAAAATAATTTTGTAAAAAAGGTACTTAAAAGATATCAGGACTTGCTTCGTTTTGGAATAAATATTTAGAATTAACATTGCTTTTCCAAATATCTACAAAATTTAAAAATTGAAATAGTAATGTAAACATGCTAAGCAAAATGGCTGCATGTATTTATATACATTTACATTTGTATATGGATATTTTCATTATTATTAAATAGCGAATACATCAGCTATCAGCTTAAAAGCAAAATAAAATTATGTCAAATGACCAAATTTAAATTGATAAATGTAAAGCACATATATATATGTGTATGTAATTAACTCAGTTGAAACTACCTATAATTTGACATAGTCCTGTAAATTTATTCAATTAAGAAACTAATAAGCGTGTGCAATCCTAAAATGTAATATACACTTTTAGAACCAAAGGAAATCTTCGTTAAACACACTTAAAGTTTACGGTTTCTAGCATTTTCAGCAAAGCAGAAAAATCTTCAACCATAAATTGTATAGTGTTTAACTTAAACTTCCTTTGTTTATTATAATTTTTTGTAAAAATTATAAAATTAATGCTTTATATTTATTACAAATATAATTTAATTACATTTTAACACACGTCGAGTTTCAGTAAGCTCCTTTAGCAATTGGATTACGTCAAAAAATTTGAGTTCTTCATTTGCTAGACGTGCTGGCTGGCAATTGACTCGGATGTAAACTTGCGTGTAAGCATGCAAACGCACTGATACAATAAAAAAAATAATAATTAATTAAGCATATATAATTAGGCAACATATTTTTAAAATTGCTTTGAAAAATGTGTATAATATTTCTTCAAGCTTCTTAACAATTTGGGCCCATAAAAATTAATTTATAATATATATATAAATTTAACACTAAATGTATTAGCAAACAAATATTTAGTACGTATATGTAAATGAGGTTTTCGATTTTCAGAAAATCTTAGAATTATGTGTTTTAAAAAAACAATTATTCTTCACCAACTATCGCACACTTCACTCATATCTTAACATCACTCTCAATTCGTTGCATACTTTTGTGCAATTTAAATACGAAATTATATTTCTGACTTAAATCAATTATATGCATTTTGTTGATTTTATTTTCAAAGCATTTTATCACTTTGTTTATATTTCTTTAGCAAACAAAACACTTCCTAATACTTTCATATTCAATTTATATCTTTTCTACTATACTTTTGTTAAAACATTTTTATTTGTATCTCAATCTATATAATTCTTTTGTACTGTCGCCTTAAGGGCGACGATGTTAGCATACAATTTAATTATATTTAGTTAATTCTACAATTTTAAATCAAATCATTCACACAAAAACATGCATTGAATGTAAATCATTAAAAGATGTAATAAACACACTGCTCAGCACATACATACAACTATTATATAGTTTATTTTTGTTTGTTTTTTATGCGTTTTTTCTTATCTACATATATATTTTGTATATATACACAGGTCATACCTGATTTATAGTCACATGTATGCTATAAGGTTGCATTTGTACATGCTCAAATGTGTACAATAACGGAATAGTTGAGGTGGATTTATAATTGTATTGTAATAGATCTAATATTTAAATGGATGAAAAATAAACTAAAAACTACATGATTTGTTCGTTTTCAATTTACTTCAAAAAAAATTCTTTGATTCAATTTTAATTTCTTATTTAAATTAATTTTCTATCATTCAGAAGATCGCTTTTTACTCTCAGTTCATTTTTTATTTTTGGTAACAGGTCAGAATCACTGAAGGATGGGTGGAAAGGCGCATTGCCGTGCTAAAGTAGCACGCCTTTCATCAAGTTTCCCGTTTATCTTATAATCGAGTTCAAAAAACGCGTTGCCAATTGTTTCCTAGCTGACTACGACACCTTAAATTTCTTAGGAGGTGTTGTACCCTTTTTAAGCCATTGCATGGAGTCTTGCGTGAGGCCAAACGTTCATAAATATGGACCCAAGCTTAGTCTCCAGTAACAATTTGACTAAGTACACCAACCTTCTCTTCATTACAGAGGCCATAGAATGTGCATTTCTCTATTCGCTGTTTTTTTTTTTGCGGAGGCGTGAGCAATCTCGACACCTCTCTTGCTCTGACCTTAGTCATGTAAGGAAGATCGAGCAGGATTTTAAAAATGCTTGTATCGGATAGTCCAACCATTTCTGTGAGTTGTTTCTTCTTTAGTCAAGCATCGTCGAGGAGAATTTTTAAAATTTTTGGATATGTTCTGGCGTGGTCATTTCGATGCTCTTGCCCGGCCTGGGCGCGATATTCGAATATTTCCGTATATTGCTCAACGACTAATTATCTAATAACAATGAAACCTCGTATTTACACTCATTATTAGTTACTGTTCACTCTATACGCTCCGTCCTATACACGTATGTATGTATTATATATGTACATATATAATTGGCGCTTTGTAACCGCTGAATCGATTTTCCGCTGAGTTCCTCCTTCAGTTTGTAGTTTTGCGTCTTGATGTTTTTGGAGGGACCTACAGTTTATATTAAGCCGCTTCCGAGTGGCTACCGGTACAAAATACCGTTAAATGAATTAATAAGCCATTTTTTGATGGCTTTAATGGATGGCGAACCAAAGTTTATTCTAAGCCGCGTTCAAACGGTTTATGGGGTTTTATGAGGGTACTTTCTTTCATGTCAGAAGTACAATTGGAAGGGTTGACATTTCCTTCCTGACAAGGAATGATTACAGTTTTAAAAGTTGGCCTAAAACAAATTTCGAACCTATGAGCCCCGTCCTAGTGGCACACACTGCGAACCAATCGGTTTCGGCGGTCTAGCCTGTGCCAAACTTTAAATAGCCGCCGTCGTTCCGACTGAAAGTTTGTCACAATATTTAAAAGTTAGCACCTATGTATATATGTACATGCTTGCTGGTATATAATTTTCATAAATTTTTCTTAAAGTGATAATTTCGTGTTTTATATTAACGAAATGTTCTCCTTAACTACAATATTTAAGTTGATTGTTGGAATGATCGATTTATTCATTTTATAATTAGAATTGAAATTATAAAACAATTTGCATAAATTAATTCTAAATATTATTAACTAAAATTTGTATACGAATAAGATCGAATACAAATTTTTGCGAAATACTTTTCATAATAAAGTATCTTTTATTTCACTGTGGCAACACCAGCGGCGATCAACTTTGACAACCGGTGGATCGCAGATGTTGCTTTGGGTTTATTTATCAAATGATTTTTTTTTCAAAGTGACAAACAAAAATATGTAAATTTTAAATTTCATTTTTGAAACATCAATAAATTTGAAATTAAATGTGTAAAGAATTTTAAACAAAACGTTTAGTATACAAAATACATACATACATATACATATATCGTGCATAGACGTGTGTAGTTTTTGCTGCAAATGCAATAATAAAAAGGTAACAAATTCCTGGCAAGCGTATATATGTACATATAATAAGTGGAATGCTAACAAATTTAGCATAAGAATGTTTATATGTATGTACATGCGTACATACGTGTATATGTGCGCACTTATAAGGTTCATTTTGCGTTATATCCTTTTTCCTACACCGGATGTTGGCTAATACATATGTATGAATATGTGTTTCCTCTATCGGCATACACAAATGCAAGCGCACGGCCATATGTAAATATGTACATACATATATACATACATATACAAATACACATGCAAACATCAATTGTACCCAGTAGCGAAATTCATTACCGATGATTTTACAATAGTAATATGAAATAGTAATCCGTAATGCGTTCGCGTAGCATTGCTTTCATTTTCGACTATTTTTTCCCAGATTGACGTCATGTCGAAACGCATTATTTAAATGGAATGCAAGACTTTCGTTTTACTCTGAAAATGTATGAGTTTTAGTAATCTTTTGGCCGGTTACGACACACATCAGCGAAACGGGGTAAAAAGTGACTTTAAAATTTTTAATTAAATAATTAAAAAAAAAACATAAACCGACTTGTTAATTAGGTATTCAAAGCGATACGAAAGCCAGCTTATTAAGGCAGAGATATACATACGAGGTGTGTTCAAAAAATATCGCGATTTTGAATTTTCGCGGGTTACGTATAATCGTGTTTCGATTTTTTTGTGGCGTTATGTTGGTATCATGTCTGTCACTTATGGCGACAAGCTCGGCCATTTTGAATGTTCACTTAATTGTTGACAGCTGCTTTGCTTGCACGTGTTTTGGATGGTCTTCGATTTTTACCTATTCAAAAAAATGGCTCAAAGAACCTGTATCAAATTTTGTGTGAGAAACAAAATTAAGTGCGCGGATGCATTCCGAATGTTGACTGAGGCATAAGGAGAAGCTACCTTGGACCAAAGCAAAGTTTATCGGTGGTACAAAATGTTCTCAGAAGGCCGAGAAGATGTGAACGACGAAGAGCGTACCGGACGCCCGAGCAGTTCAACAGCAGATGAAAAAATTAATGAAGTAGAGAAAATGGTATTGCCACAGGGTATAAAGCTCAATAAGGAATATTATCTGCAAGTTATGCGCCCGGATTTGTGGAAGGACAAAAATTGGCTTTTGCACCACGATAACGCCCTTGCTCACACATCGTTGGTTTGGCCAAAAACAACACACTAATGATGCCGCACCCACCGTATTCCCCAGATCTGGCCCCCTGTGACTTTTTCTTGTTCCCTAAACTGAAGAGGCCCATGAAAGGACGACGTTACGCTTCGATTGACGAGATAAAGCCGGCATTGAAGGAGGAGCTGAAAAAAATATTTTTTGAAGTGCTTCGAAGATTAGAGAAACCGTTGGCACTATTATACTCATGGGGATTACTTTGAAGGGGACAAAATAGATATTCATGAATAAATAATAAATTTTTGAAAAAACACAAAATTCGCGATATTTTTTGAGCACAACTCGTATAAACAATTTTTGGCCGATTTTTGGGAACGAAGATTTTAGTGAAATATTGAATGAAAATGGTGAAATTGGTGAAAATCTTCAGGTTTCGCGAAAACAGACTATCGATGTTCCATTACCTTCGGAATCCATTGATAAAAGAAATCTTTATACATATATATACAATATATATATGTATTATTATATTTATATTCATATATATTTTAATTTTCAAAGAATAAATAAAATAAGTTTGGATTTTTAATTTTAATGTTTTATTAAGGTTGTCTTACTTGAGTAGACCATTCTCATGGTAATGTACAACAAAGCGTCAAACTGTACACATTACTTCCTCCCTGGCTCTGAACAATGAAGTAGTTAGCTGCACTCATTACCATTACGCTTGCAATTTACAACGGACTGGCAAGTTGTGCGTATGAACAATTGGCTTGCAAAAGCCAATGAAGTGGTAAACTGCCTTGGTGAATTCTTCGTTGAAAAATAGCAGTGAAATGGTAATGATTGAATTTTCAAACACAAGTCCTGTACAAAATATAAACGATGCTGGAGGTTCTCAAATATAGTAGATGTACTTTCCTTTATTGGAAAGCTATTACCATTCACTACTGGCTAGTTGCAGAGTTTAATGGAATCTTTAATAATAAAATAAATAAATGTTTGTAATTGAAAATATTTCAAATTTTTTGCCACATTCTACTAATATGTTGCCGACTACAGATTTTTATGGTCACTCTAATGTATGTATATACACTGAAAACACTTTTTTTTAATTCATATCGTAAACTTTTATTGAAAATTAATCATTCATTTATGTATATATGTGTAATTGCCGCTTTGTAACCGCTGAAGCGATTTTCGTCAGAGCTCCTCCTGTGATTTGTTAATTTTCTGCAACTTTTTTGGATGTTCATCGTACCTGGATTTGAATCCTAGTCTTCCGAATGGCAGTACGCATTGCTAACCACTCGGCTACCGCAGCATACTTGTAACATTTTTACTTATTTATATTTATATTTAAGAATTATTTAAAGCTGTCATTTAAATACATAAATATTCGTATATAGAATGCGTTGAATTGGGGGTAAAAAGAATAAATGCCCCATTGCGCTCTTTTGTGTGTATTTTACAACTGTTTAATTTACATAAATTATTAATTTTTTTATAGTTGTAAATTAAATTTCCAACAATTTATTCATTTTAAAATACGGTACGAATGCATTAGCTGATTTGCTCTGCTCGCCAAAAGTCGTTTTAATTGTTATTATCGCATTAGACTATTTATTTACTAGTGTTTGTATATACATACATACATACAAACATACACACATGTGTACGAGTATGTCAATAAAGATTAAATTCGATTGCTTTAGCTCCTCAGATGGTTTCTCATAATTTGCATTATATTTCAGCTTTCAGTTTGTACTGCGGCGGCGGTTTGACCCATTGAAAGTGCGGAGTGTGCCAAATAACAGTGTAATATGAAAGTGTTAATGATAATCGCACTATTCGTGCCACTAATAAGTGCCGATTTATTCCCATTATCCATTATTCATATTAACGACTTTCATGCAAGGTAATTATGAAATATATATATATATATATATATATATATTTGTAATGAGCAGTTTTAAGAAATATTGTACATACATATACATATATGTATTGAGAACTATTTTTTTTTTTTTTAATAAAGTTATTATTTTTTTAGTGACTTAAGTGATTTAGAATCACACTGTAGTGGAATTCTACGAAATTTTTGGAGCTCAATTCCAGGTTCTGAAATTTAGTTTCTATTTTTTAATAAATTGCACCCAAACCTAATAGAGAAAATTAATGTTGTTATAGATGTTTCGAAAGGATTCACATAATTTTATACCTATACATATATAATTGGCGCTTCATAAGTCATGAATCGATTTTCAATTTCTACTAAAAATATTAATATATACCGTAATTCGCAAATACAAAGTAATAAATGGTCAGGGATATCAATATTATCACAAAATATAGTACTAAACACGTGCAAATAATAAATAATAATTGTGTCAGATAAATCCAGAGATAACAGTTATACAAAATGTTTATTACTACATACATACATAATTACATATGTACATGCCGAGTAAGGGCACTTCCATAAGATGACCTACTAATGATGTGAAATTCGATATTAATTTTTTTTATGAAGCATAGAAAGCTCTGATGGGATTACTATAACCGTTAGCTACGTTACAGCAAATTTCTCTGTTTTTATCACGTCACATTACCCCATGTTTTTAACCTTTATATTCCTGACTTTTTTTATTTATATGTCATGTGAAATTGAAAAAAATGTATCACCTGGCCATGACAGGTGCCAATAGAAATTCCCATGTTAAATATTAAAAGTTGAAAATCGTAGCTATGCACACTCATGTATTCAAACTTATCTTTAAATAATCTTATGAGCGATAGCGTACCTTGATAATCGTGCAAATTACCATTAATTCATAAATCATCTTTAAAGCCTTTGTACTCGTATGTATCACGTTTCTACAAATACAAAACATTTTTCGTGAATTTACATGCCGGTGTATTGGTTTAACGAATAATTAGATGTCGAAAGAATAAAATTTTTTTTATGAGCGAAAAAAATTTAAAATGTATCTATCACTTTTCTAATTTAATGTTAATTTTTTATTTAATTTTATTATTCTAAACTTTATTTTAGTTGTTTTTTTTTTCAGTTTATCATTCTATTTTATTTTGTTTTGGGTGCATGTATTAATTCGTGCGGTTTTCTAAGAGAGGGCTCTACTAGTATTAGTCGTTTATCGTCGTGTTCATCTGTGACTATATTCATTTCAAAGGTACCATCATTTCGCGTCGTTTTCAGTAGATGTCATTTGTTTGAAAATGTCGAAATTTGTACCAGATAAAGTGTTTTTGCGGGTAGTTCTTCTTAATTACTTTAACATGAAGAAAAGTGCTACCGAAAGCCATCGTATTTTACTGGACGTTTATGGTGACCATGCTTTAGCCGAACGAACGTGCCAAAAGTGGTTTGCACGGTTTAAAAATGGCAATTTCAACTTAGACGACGGAGAACGACTCGGACAGCCAAAAAAATTTCAAGACGAAGAATTGGAGACATTGCTCGATGCCGATGGCTGCCAAACGCAAGAAGAACTTGCAAAAGTATTAGGAGTTGATCAAGCAACCGTTTCCAAACCGTTTAAATTATTAGGATTCATCCAGCAGCTTAGAAATTGGGTGCCTTATGAACTAAAGCCAAGAGAGGTCGAACGTCGATTCTGCATCTGGGAAATGTTACTTCAACACCACCGAAAGAAGTCATTTTCGCATCGGATTGTCACTGGCGATGAAAAATGGATTCCTTATGATAACCCAAAGCGCAAGAGATCGTATGTGAAGCCCGTCCAACCATCGACATCCACGGCAAAGCCGAATATCCATGGTGCCAAGGTTATGCTATGTATTTGGTGGGACCACAAGTTTGTACTCTATTATGAGCTATTGAAATTGGGTCAGACGATTAGTGGCGACCTCTGCCGAAAACAATTGATTCGTTTAAAAAAGGCCATTGCGGAAAAACGATCAGAATACGCGACCAGACACGATTCAATAATTATTCGTCATGACAATGCTCGGCCACATGTTGCAAGGCCAGTTAAAAATATTTGGAAAACTGTGGGTGGGAAGTTCAACCTCACCCGCCGTATAGCCCAGACATAGCACCTTTCGATTACCACTTGTTCAGATCAATGCAGAATGCCCTCACCGGAATGCAGAATGCCTTCACTTCAGAACAGGGTATTAGAAATCGGCTGGATTCTTTCTTGATCTCCAAGCCGGAGCAGTTCTTTTGGGATGGGATCCACAAACTGCCAGAAAGATGGGCAAACATCGTAGCTTCGGATAAGCAATACTTTGAACATTAAATGTATAACAAATTTTCCACAATAAAGTCTTAATTTTCGACAAAAAAAACCGCACGATTTAATGCATACACCCAATATTTTATGTTATTTTAATTAATTTACATTTTTTATATTGTTGAATATTTTCTTATAACATATTTTATTTCATTGCGTGTTATTTTATTTTTTCTCAATTTTTGTTATATATATCAGGTGTACAACTTTGCTTCCGCCGTTTTTTTTTTCCAAAATTAAAAGCTTTATTGCGAAAAAGTGCTTACAAATATATAATTCAAAGTATTGTCCTTCACTAGCGACAACTTTCTCCCATCATTCCGACAATTTTCGGATCTCGGCTCGAAAAAAGGAGCCCTCTTTTGACACTATCCATGAAGCAATCCATTTTTCCAATTATTCGAAGGATTGAAAATGTTGATCTGCCAGGCCGTGTGTCATCGAACGGAATAGGTGGAAGTCAGAAGGGGCGACATCTGAGGAATACGGTGGGTGGGGAAAGACTTCCCATTTCAGCGTTTCCAGGTACTTTTTGACCACTTTTTCGACGTGAGGCCGAGCATTGTCGTGTTGGAGGATGACTTTGTCATGTCGCTCTTGATATTGTGGCCGCTTTTCTTTTAGCGCGCGACTAAGGCGCATCAGTTGCGCTCGGTGGCGATCTCCTGTGATGATTTCACCCGGTTTTAAGAGCTCGGAATAAATCACACCGAGCTGATCCCACCAAATACAAATCATAACCTTGTTTGTCTTCGACATCGGAATCACCATTTAACGTTGAAACCACTCCCGACACGTTCTTTCACTCAGAGCAGCATCACCGTAAGTTTCTGAGAGCATTCGATGCGCTTCAGCTGCATTTTTTTCGAATTGTCACAAAAAAGTAAAACTTCCCGCAAAAGGCGAGAATTAGGCACATAAACGGACATTTTCGAGCGTGAATAATACGAAAACAAGAACAACTGTTACTGAAACGGCGATTCCAATTCTTTAGGCACGGCTACCCTCTACAAAATATCGTTAAGTGAATTAATAAGCCAATTTTCGATGGTTTTTCAATTAAAATTTCTTTTCATAAAAGTAATGCCTCTAACCAAGCGTGCAGTCAACAATGGCTAGACTTAGGTTTATTCTAAGCCGGCTCCGAACGCTGATGGTCTTTATTTTATTTCATGTCTAAAATACACTCGGAGGGGTTGACATTCCCTGAGCGACCGCAATAAGAAAATTTAGCTTAATTTTTTATTGAAACTAAATTTCTATAACTTTTTGGATGCTAGTATGACGCCAGGATTTGAGCCCTAGCCTTCCGAATGACAGTATGCAATGCTAACCACTCGGCTACTGCGGTTTTATTTCACTTTAATCCATTTCAATTATTTATTTAATTTTCCCTTTATTTTTAATTTCATTTCTAATCTATTTAGTATATTTTGCTTAACATTGTTTTAATTTAATTTATTTTATTTTATTTTTACCTTAATTTATTTATTTCAATTTTTATTTGTTTTTGTTGTTTTAAACAATTTTTTTTCTTTTTCATATTTTTCATTATTATTCAGATTCGAGCCCACGGACACATCGGGTGGTACTTGTGACGCTGGGGAAGAATGCATTGGAGGTTATGCGCGCACTGTATACACTGTAAAACGTTTACTCGATGAACAAAAGGATCAAAACCCGGTCTATTTTAATGCAGGCGACAGTTTTCAAGGTACACTTTGGTATAATATTGGAAGATGGAATGTGACGAGTCAATTTCTCAATTTACTGCCCGCCGATGCAATGGTTAATATTTTTTGAATTTTATTTTAAAATGAATAAAAATTAATCATTTCCCCTCTCCTTTTTATTTGTACACGCACAACAGACACTCGGCAATCATGAATTTGATCACGGCATTGAAGGTGTTGTACCATTTCTGGAACATATCAACTCACCCATGTTGGTGGCAAATATGGATGCAACAGATGAACCGGATATGCAAGGAAAGTACCAAAATTCGATCATAATCGAAAGGAGTAATCGAAAAATTGGTGTTATTGGCGTTATACTCGAGACCACTTATGTATGATGCTATACGCGTTGTTTACATACATATAATATAATATTTTTGAATATCCTTTTACTTTCTGGTCTCTTAAGGATTTAGCCAATACTGGCGATTTGATATTCCGCAATGAAAGCGACGTTATACGCGAAGAAGCGCAAAAATTAAAAGCTCAGGGTGCGAATATAATCATCGCCATTACACACTGTGGCTATGACGTTGATAAATTAATTGCACAAAATGCCGCTGATGAAGTCGATGTTATAGTGGGTGCACATTCGCATACTTTTCTTTATACGGGTGATGTACCACCTGGTCCAGATACGCCACGTGGTCCATATCCAACGGAAATTGTACATGAGAATGGACATCGCATTTTGATTGTTCAAGCAGCTGCTTATGCGAAATATGTCGGCAATATAACGGTATTTTTCGATGATGATGGTAACGTTGTTGACTATTCGGGCGCACCGATTTATATGGGCTCCAATGTGCCAGAAGGTGAGCAAATATTTTCTATAACCATAATTCTTTTTTTTTTGGAAATTTAACTTAATTTTATTTGTTTTAGCGTAGTTCAATTGGAAATACTAACCTCAATACTTCTTCTTAATTACACTATACCACCTGATTCATTAACAAATCGAGCTCGAAACTCATTATTATAAACATAATGCATACATAGTTGCACATACATACATTCAACTTTTCAGTAGATTTCATATAGTATCTTATTTAACTTTAGCTCTACAGCGATGGGTTCGTAGGCCATTTATAATTTAATCGTATTTTATTTATTCTGCTGTCAGAACACTTTTTTTTTCATTTCAATATTTTAGTCGTAATTAATGTAAAACCCATTCCCAAAGCCATTCAAAAAGTGGGTTGCCTAAATATCCTTTTATTACGATCCGGTCTTATTTTAGTTAATAAAAGTGCAAAAACAGTTAACAAAAAGCCAAAATTAAACGAACCGTTTTACACATTTAACAATCAGTCTGAAGTGCTTACCCGCAGAGTATCTACAAATAAAGAGACTCCCTACTTGTTTCTCTTATAATTTGTTCGAAAATAATTTCCTGTTATCTGCTTATTGACTACTAACCAATTGTTCAGAAAAAAAGTTTAAATGGTTTAAAGTGCATGCTTAATATTGGACTAACAAACTAATCGGTAACTAATACAATATTTTATTTAAATATACGAATGTAAATAAAACTAAAGTCTACTTCATCGGTACACAGACAGCGATGTAGTTGCGGCCATGCAGCCATGGAAAAAAATAATAGATGCAAAGGGTTCAGTTGTTGTTGGCGAGACAAAAGTTGACTTGGCTATGTCCACATGTAGTGACTCCGAGTGTAATTTAGGAAATTATTTCTGTGATGCTATGATACACTCTGTAAGTACAAAGTAAAAAACTTTTATTATTTAATTCTTTATAAAAAATCTATTTTATATACATATTATATTTTCATATTCTTCATACTTGTACATACGTGTACATACATAGTTTGCTGGCTTAACACCATTCTCGGATATGCCCTGGACAAATGTTTCCATTGGTCTAATAAATACCGGTGCATTACGTGTACCACTGAAAAAAGGGAGTATGTTCCATAAGCGGCCCAAATAAATGGAATTTGTAAATTATGTATTTATTTTCTTTTTCGTATTTTACATAGCACTCACATATGGTCATCTAGTGACAATGTCACCATTTGAAAATACACTCACCGCCTTCAATTTACCAGGACACAAACTCTTAGAAGCATTGGAATATAGCGTCAAACCTATAGATATCGAAAATAATATAACCACCTCTGATATTTTTATGCAAGTATCTGGCTTAAAAGTTAAGTATGATTACAATAATCCTGTGGGTGAAAGAGTAGTTGAGGTAAAAGTACGTTGTGCACACTGTGACATACCACGATATGAGGACTTCGATTCAACGAAAATTTATCGAATAGTAGCACCAGATTTTCTAGCAGAAGGAGGCGATGGTTACACAATGTTTCGAGATCATGGTTCGGATTGGCAGTAAGTGTAGTGAAGTTAATATTATTTTTTATTTTATTTGAAATCTTATGTTTTTTTTTGTTTTTTTGAAATTCAAGGAAGGAAATGACCGACATTGATGCGCTCTTGTCTTTTACGCAAAATATAAGTCCAATTTTTATAGGAAGAGAAAAGCGGATATCCGTGTTAGGCTTATGAAAATAATTACCCTTTAAATTTTATATCATCAATGCTTATGCTATTTTAACTTATGTATGTATGAATGTGAGTATAATAAAAATTTTCTATTAAGAAATATGAATTTGTAATTGTAATTTCCAAAAAAAAAGTTTTTGAGTCAACTCGAGCCTTTTGAATTTTTTGTAAAAGATATTTTTGTGCTTTTCGAATTTATCGTTAAGTCAGAGATAATGTTTTGCAAAATCCTTCTCATAGACACACCCTCGTAATTGAGATAAACATTTTCTACTGAAAACCTGCTATACCATAAATATTTATAATCGCATATTATAGCAAATAAAGTATTTGCTTAATTTATAATTTATTTATAAACGGCTTACTTTTTACTTAATATAAATGGTGTTTAGTGCATGCTCTTAATATCGGACTAACAAACAGATCGGTAATTAATACATATACTCGGATTTTATTTAAATAAACCTCTGCTTAATCAATTCACAGACAGCGACGTTGTAGCTGCAATGCCGCCATGGAAAGAGATTGTAGATGCAAAAGGTGCAGTTGTGGTTGGCGAGACTAAAGTTGACTTGACTATGTCCACGTGTAGTGACTCCGAATGTAATTTAGGAAATTATTTCTGTGATGCTATGATACATTCTGTGAGTTTAATACTTGTATTACGTAAAAATTATTATATAAAAGTCTCATACATTCCTCAAATTTAGTTTGCTGGCTTAACATCATTTTCAGATGCGCCTTGGACAAATGTTGCCATTGGCCTAATAAACAACGGTGCATTACGTGTAACACTGAGAAAAGGAAGTACGTGCTGCATTAAGCTACTTTTATCAATTATGAAATCAGAAGTTATGTATTCAACTTCTTTTTTAATCACAGTTCTCACGTATGCCCATCTCGTGGCAATGTCACCATTTGAAAATACACTCACCGCCTTCAATTTACCAGGACACAAACTCTTAGAAGCATTGGAATATAGCGTCCAACCTATAGATATCAAGAATAATATAACCACCTCTGATATTTTTATGCAAGTATCTGGATTAAAAATTAAATATAATTACAACAAACCAGTGGGTGAAAGAGTGGTTGAGGTAAAAGTACGTTGTGCACATTGCGAGATACCACGATATGAGGACTTCGATTCAACGAAAATTTATCGTATAGTAACAGTAGACTTTTTAGCCGAAGGAGGTGGTGGTTATACAATGTTTAGAGATCATGGCTCTGATTGGCAGTAAGTGCAATAAAAAGTGGCCGATGCATTTGTTCTACTAATATTTTTGAATTTTTTCTTTTTTGTAAATTCTAGGAAGGAAATGACCGACATTGATGCGCTCTTGTCATATACGCAAAATATAAGTCCAATTTACACAGGAAGAGAGAAACGAATATCAGTGATAGGCTCATAAAAAATTAGTTTCATTAAAATTTTCTGTCATTAATGTTTAGGAATATGTATAATATTTAAATATATGTATGTGATTCTACTAAATATTTTATTTTTTAATAACTCGAATTTTTTATATAAAAATGTACATACGTATATGTTTTTTTAATCAGTTTTAATAAGATATTACAGTGCATTTAAATTTGAACGTTACGCCTGCGCTATGTGTAATATGCTGTCACTTTTGGTTTTCTGAATGAAACTGAATGAAAAATTGATTGTATAAATTTTTTTTTTGCCTAAAATGGACGGCTCCACGATTTCAGTTTATTCAATTTATTTAAAACTCTTTTATAAATTACGTATGAATAAGCACAACGTTAAAAAAACGTTATGTTATGTTACCGCGTAAAAATTTACAGGTTGATTTAAACATAAAAATCTCAAGTTTTTCATTTACATATATTTTCTATGTATGTATTAATGTATACTCCTCAGACCCTGAAACTGTGGAAGCGCTTGCGCCTATTAAAGAGGAAATAGATAAAGTGGGATCCATCATCCAAGGCGAAACAAAAGTTGAGCTTAGAAAGTCAACATGCAGCAATTCCGAGTGCAACTTGGGTAATTTCTTTTGTGATGCAATGATACACGCTGTGAGTACTTCTCTAATTTACCATAATCATTTTAATTATATAATAACTCAACAACGTAGTTCGCCGGCTTAACACCCTTCTCTGAAAGTAAATGGTCAAATGTTTCCATCGGCCTTGTTAATACTGGCGCATTACGAGTACCACTTTACAAAGGAAGTAAGTAGTGCTAACTTAAATTTTTTCCATTTACAGTTTTACGCATTTCGCTGAAGAAATGTAATTATGTACATATTAAACTTATTTTTACAGATATTACCTATGCACATATAGTGACCATGTCACCATTTGAAAACATGCTCACGGCTTTCAATTTACCTGGTCATAAGCTGTTGGAAGCCTTAGAATTCAGTGTTGAGCCTATTGATGTAGAAAGTGGCGTTCAAACCTCTTCTAGATTTATACAAGTTGCCGGTTTAAAGGTAACTTACAACTTTACCAATCCCGTTGGCGAAAGGGTAGTCGATATTAAAGTGCGATGCGTGGAATGTGATATTCCTGTTTACGAGGATTTCGATTCTACGAAAATATATCGCATTGTAGCACCTGATTTTCTAGCTGAGGGCGGTGATGGCTTTTCAATGTTGAAAGAGCATGGCTATGATTGGCAGTAAGTATGCCGTTAGTTTGAGTTATATACTTGTTTATTGTTATTCTGCATTCTACCTTCTGCAGAAAAGAGGTGACTGATTTGGATGCCCTACTCTCGTACACAAATCAAGTAACTCCAATCTACACGGGAAAAGAAAAGCGTATTACAGTATTGTGAAAGTAATCTAATGAAGTGGCGGAAGTAGTCAAAAATGAAATAACGTATTTGTTTTACACATCCTGTACAAGCCTTGCCATATTATCACAGATTTTGTAATACTAAAATATATATTATATGTGTTTCTTAAATTTGGTTTACTTGTTTTAATGGAAAATTTCCTAAAAGTATTTATGAGCGACTAACCGCAGCAAACCAGGTTATACACATTACATACCGTACGCATGTAACTACCTCTATTACATACATCCGTTAAAACAAAAATTACAAACTAGTTTGAAAACAAGTTAAACTCTATTCACATCTCATCAACCGGTTTATTAAGATTAATAAATAAATTACAATTCTTCTTTTCATACAAAACATAAATTATATAATTATGAATTATTAAGTTTATCTAATATTTATTTTAGACGAAAATGTATTAAAACTTAAAGAAATATGGACAAGAAATATTTCCGCTGCGGGCAGTGCCATTATCGGAAATTCCAGAGTAAATTTACGTAATAATAACTGTAGTTATTCAGAGTGTAATATTGGAAATTTCTACTCGGATGCAATCTTACATGAAGTAATGTCGCCTCTTTCAAAATTTACCCTTTGTTTTTAACCAATATTTTTTTCTTATTTATAGTCTTTGCGGTTGGACGCCTTCAGCTCAGACAAATGGTGTAATGCTTCAATAGCATTAACAACCAGTGCTGAGATGCGTGCCGCAATTCCACGCGGTGGTAAGTATAGTATTTCTTTAGAGAATTGTTAAACAAATCGAAACGCTCCCTTATTTTTTATAGACGTTACATATGAACAAATTTTTACGCTTGGCTCATACGAAGGTGAGCTTATTGCTTTTGATTTGACTGGTAGCCATTTGCTGGAGGCACTAGAGTACAGTGTATCAGAAATTGACTTGGAGGACAACGTCTTTGAGACCCACAGATTTTTGCATAGTTCAGGCTTACGGGTCACGTATAATTTCCGTGCTGATAAGGGAGAAAGAGTTGTAAGTGCGGCAATTCGATGCGCGGATTGCGCCATTCCCGTTTATGAACCACTTTCTCTAACGAAGAGCTATCGTATTGTGGCTGCTAAATATGTGGCAACTGGTGGTTATGGCTATAAAATATTTTCGAATTATGGATCATCGCGCATGTAAGGATAGAAACGCTGATGAAAAATAGAAGCTTATTAACTTTTTTTTACAGAAAACTTCCAGTAACGGAACTTACTGCGCTGATTAATTACTTTCAAATTCAAACACCAGTAATCACTGGTTTGGATGGACGAATAAAAGTGATCTGAAGTTAGAAATTGTTAATTTGTCTTACTTTTCTTATATCAGTACTGGGAGTCCGTTGTGATGTCTTGAGTAGAGTTAGGAACGATACTATGGCAGTATGTGGTCATATTAAGGCCCTTACTCATTATTTGAGTGAATTTACGAACTATACATTTCTCTCTAAACACATAGTTTCTTCTCCCGTAAGCCTTACTCTACGCCGACATTGTCACTATCGAGTTCCATGTTCATCTAAATATGCTGCGGTGTGTCATATAACTAAAGATTACTTGCATCTCTCGAAGGTTCTGCTTGATTGTTCGCGGTAACGAACATTGGATACACAGGCTTAAGAATATGCTATGATTATCGGATTCTCCTCTTTCCTTGGTTAAATTTCATTTAAAGTAATCCTCCGCTCCTTATGGCAATATTAATGTCTTTCTGAATGCCTTCACTTCCAGTGGTTCTTACAGAAGGTGGTGTACGGAATAAGCTTCATTCCTAAAGTTATGATGCCTACAGTAGAATTTTGTAATCTTTCGAAGTAAGAAATATTATTACTTTTTACATATTCGTTTTACCTGGACCACGACACAAAAAACGTCTGGTGGAACTCTGAAATTTCACCAATGTTTATAATTAAGTGGCAGCTTGGTGTCAACTTTTTTACGAATCGCAGTAGATAGAAAAAGAGTAATAAATGCCAAAATAAGAAGAATAAAAAAGAATCGACCCAATGCAAAGAACATGATGTGAAAAAGTCAACAAAGTGATACGAAAATTTGCGAAGTTGTTTTCATCAGTCTCGGAAAATTCGACAGTAAATAAATAGATTTAATAGTGCAAAATGAAAATATGTACACAACTTGATTGACTTTAACAAAGTATTGAAGTGTTAATGTAGCTCTACTTAAAATACTATTCATATTTAAATTCAAAGTAAAGCTAGGCGATTTCGGATTATTTTTCTTGTGTACATATGTATGTAGAAAGTATAACATAACCCCAAATAGAGAGATGTATAAATCGCCGTACATATAAGGAAAATGAAATTTAAAAGCTATTACTAAATAAATACATATAAAGCACATATAGATCAATACGTGGCGTTGCATTTTGAGTAAAAAATTATTAAATTGCACAAGAAAAAATCCGAAAGTAACAAAATTTTATCAAAGTGAGTTGGATGAAAGGTACAATTGTTTTTGTTGTGCTACAGATATTCCTTCCGGAGTTCGAGTAGGTGGACAGCAAAGTGGCTTAGTCATACAGTTCTTTGATTTTTAAAGCGTAAAGTGTAGAACATTATAATATTGAGCTTATTGACTTACGGAATCAATACATAAGATGCCTAACAGGGAGTCGTATACCAAATAGAGCAATTTTTTACATAAGAATTAAATATATTTTGTATTTATTTTTTATCTGCACATCGTCTTATTCTGGCTGGAATATAGATAACAATATCTATATCTTAATTTTATATCTTATTTTGTGCTTCTCAATATATTTATGCCGCGCTGCCAATGCATAAGACTCTATATCTTCCTCCTTTTTCATAGACGTTTTCAACGAAAGTTGGTTTGCTTATAATATTTCTTATAACGAGCGGTTACATAGTCACATGCCACATAATAATAAATTGTGTGCTGTTTCGTTATTTTCAGATCATAGTTAAGTTTGGAAAAATTTCAGCAAAAAATCGATATATTTTTCAAAGACTTCAAATGACGCTTTAAGTGTATGTTCATTAAGAATCAATCTCTCTTGGATCATTTTACAAGTTCAAAGACAAATACCCAAAACTAAAAAAGAAATCATGCGGGTGGTTGCTATGGTTAGCGGTGGCAAAGATAGCTGCTACAATATGATGCAGTGTGTCGCTGAGGGACACGAAATAGTTGCATTAGCAAATCTGCATCCGAAAGATCGCGGTAAGTAGTACTAACTGTATTTATTATGTTATGTGATATTACATAAATATTTGTAAGCAGCTTATATTTTAAGTACCTGAAAGTAAAAAATGTTTTTAGTATAGCTAAGCTTGGCAAATTAAATTTTTCATCGAAAATATATTCTTTATTTCATATGCGCTTAAACCAATTATAATTATCACTAGCATTGTTGGCTACGAAAATCTTTAACTAAACAACTCTCATTTTCATTTGTTTAAAAATATTGATAAGGAATTAAGAAAAGGTAGCCGTGCTATGCAATTAAAATGATATAAAGTCTTTATCAATTTTTATTTAAATAGTCTTTGTTGTAACATCCTCAAAATTAAAAATGCAGCGGTTTGTTGTTTGTGATTTTAATGTTGTTATACACGTAAACGTAATATTTTAATATTTATTTTTTTATAATTAAAAGATGTCAAAAATGTCTCAATTGATTAAGAAACAAACAAGCATTTCGCAAACAAAGTCATTTAAGTATCAAAACAAAAATGTATGTTAGCATATGGTGTAGCCATTGCTTAAATTCTTTGATTTTTCAGTTCTTAATTGTTGTTTTTATCGCCGCTATTTTACTTCTTAATGTATGAATATATAAGTTATATTCACTTTTATTACAGATGAACTTGATAGCTTTATGTACCAGACTGTCGGTCACATGGGCATTGAGAACTTGGCAAAGGCTATGGGTCTGCCATTGTATAGGCGCGAGACCAAAGGCAAAAGTACACAAACAGGAAAACATTATGTGCCTACAGATGACGATGAAGTTGAAGATTTGTATAGTCTTTTAGAATTATGTAAGGTAAGTTAATTTACTTCAAATAAATAAAACACTGATACTTTACAAGTTGGAATAAGTTGAGGCACCAGATACATTGATATTTTTAAAATACAGTCAGACTACTACTAAACAGATAAAGTGACAAACTACTTACATTTGTCCGTTACGAACGTGTTTGCCATTCAAAAATTTAAATTTATTTATCTTTTGGCAGTTATATGAGGCTTATCAGCCATTTGGACGTTTAAAAGAAGGCCTCTATTTTAAAATGGTGTTATGTTAAATAGACATTTCGAGTGTATGGCCAAAAAATTCCACTTTTCATTCTAAAATTTTTGTTATATTTGTGTATAGCAAACACACAAACATTCATTTGGCCACACTCTACATACGTACATGTGCACATAAATATGTATATTGTACTACAAACAAGCTTTTGTCACGTTCATCAAAACATTCTCTATTGCTGTTTGTTTATTTTTTCTATTGGATTTAATTTATATCTTATTTTTGTATTTGCATTTATTTATGTCTAACATTTAACGGTCGACACACCTACTTTATTTTATGTGGCTGAAAGTAAGCATCCACAAGATATTTCTGTATATCCGACATATATGTGATAATATTCTCTATAAAGCTGATTTACATACTTAGTATTTGTATATGGATGTGCTAATAAGAATATATTTATACGCACGTCTACATTCCAAGCCACTAGTATAGGTGTATGTACTTAATTACTATAAATTTCATGCTTTAATTAGATTACCGAATATATATCAAATTTCAGTATTTTTTCTTTTTAATTTTAAATCTAGATAAATAATATATAACAATATAAAAAAATCGGAATAGAATTGAAACAATAAATATACACGATTTATAATATCGGATTGAAGAATAAATAAACTAAGAAAATGTAAAAAAATCAACTTGGGAACTTGTTATTGTTCCTATTTTTCTTTCCTAAAGGACTCGAGTTGCCAAAAAATGTTGTTTATTAAATATTAATATATTATTTACAAATCGAAGTTATGATTAATTTGTAATACACATATGTATGTATATGCATATATTTTTAGAATGAATTACAAGTTGAGGCAGTAGCTGTCGGTGCCATTCTCTCTGACTACCAAAGAGTACGTGTTGAAAATGTTTGTAGTCGTTTAAATTTGGTGTCATTGGCGTATCTGTGGAGGAGAGACCAGACTGAATTGTTGCAAGAAATGATTGATTGCCAAGTACATGCCATTATAATAAAGGTAATTTAGGAGTTCTACACAAAATTTATGGAAAAGCTTGTCGTTGTATTTTATCTTTTTCAAATATCTATGTAAATAGATGGAAAATTTTGCAAGGCAAATTGGTTAACCCTTTGATGATGACTTGATATTTATGTATATTAAACTAATCTGGTTCATCATGTTTGTACTAAACCCAGTTTTTTTTCATCAACTCGCACAGGTAGCTGCATTAGGTTTAGTTCCTGATCGTCATTTAGGCAAATCTTTACGTGAAATACAACCACATCTGTTGAAAATGCGTGATAAGTATGGTTTGAATGTATGCGGCGAAGGTGGTGAATATGAAACATTTACTTTAGACTGTCCGTTGTTTAAGCAGCGAATTGTGGTGTAAGTATATGCACTTGTACTCGAATGTTTCAATACTAAATTAATAAATTGATTTATTTTTTATTCCATACAGAGAGGATGTTCAAACGATAATTAGCTCAGCGGATCCTATATGCCCGGTTGGCTATATTAATTTCACCAAATTGTCAATGCATTCGAAGGAGCCAACGCAATGCTGTGATGTTTTTGTGAAAAAATCTTTGGATTATATAAGTGACCTAAACGAATCAACATACAGTGACCTCAGCGACCCAGATCTCAGTGAAACTGAATTGGAATTGATAGAAAAAGAAACGAGATTACGTGAATCGCTTAGCCAAAATGAATTAATAATATCGCGTAGCAATTCATTTGGCCGCCATTTAACAACATCCTCTTCACCCATACCAATTGTGACGAAGAGCGCTAGTGTCGACGAACCGCCGACTCCATCGCCATTATTTTCATCTTCAGCAGCGCTGTGCGCTGTATCACTACAAGCAACGACCAACAATTTTAGTGTAACACGTCCTTTGGGTAGCAGTACGACAGCAGTGTGTGGTTCGTTGTCGCTGGGTATTTCGTCGACGGGCGCCACAGCTGGCATCTCGACTGCACATGCTACACAACCACCGAGTCCAATGAAAATTGAACGTGAGTTCCGTCCACTTAAAAATCAGCCAATGGCAGCGTTTAATCAAAAAGGCTGGTTGTGGGTCGCTGGCATACAAGGTAGTCTATTGCATTTAGCGCTCTCGCTATCATTAGTTCGCTTAACTACATTGCTCATTATGTATAAATATTTAATTTTAGGCTGCGCTCCAACTCTGGAAGAAGGAATGCGGCTGGCTATGCAGTCCTTGGTCGATTTAGCTGTTCAGCACAATTACGAGTTAACTGATTACTGTTATATTACCCTTTATATACGTTCAATTGCCGATTATCCTTTACTAAATCGTATTTATGGCCAAACGATTAATTTTCACAATCCACCAACCCGAGTCTGTGTTGAGTGCCCGCTACCAGAAGATTGCCATGTGATATTGGAAGCGATTGCATTTCGTCCACCTATGCGACGCCGTCCAACATTGTCTACAAGCGAAGTAGATGGTATGTACTCATGATAATAGCAAATTATAAAACAATATTTATGTATATACATATATCCATAAGTCCATACATACATTTTCATAAAGAAAATTCACAACGCTGGTACATACAATAGCAGAGTTATATGTCTCCTAATTCTCATTATTGATATTTTATAGCTTATAATGATGAACACAATAATAGTGGCGACTTAGCACATAAACAACGCCAAACTATGCATGTTCAAGGAATTTCTCACTGGGCACCAGCAAATATTGGCACTTATAGTCAATCTACAAGAGTGAGCAGAAAATATTTTGGCTAAAGTGCAATCAAGTGAAAATATTATAATTTTTTTTTTACCAGGTTGGCGAGATAACATATATTTCTGGTCAAATTGCACTCGTTCCTGGCAGCATGACAATTATCGAAGGTGGTATACGGCCACAATGCAAACTAGCTTTACGACACATCAGCCGAATAGCAAAGGCGATGAATGCTCAGGGTCAGTTACGCGACGTAGTACATGGTATATGCTTCTTGACTCATCCAGCCTTTATAGCCGAGGCGCGTCGTCAATGGGAACGACGTACAACGAATGCCATAATGGATTATATTGTTGTGCCTGCTTTGCCGCGTGAGGCCTTGGTGGAGTGGCAAGTGTGGGCACATACGCACAATGATCGCTTTGATTGTGAGTTTTTTTATTGTTGTTGTTGGTGTTGGTTTCAATATGAGACAAACTGAAATTTTGTTTAACTATGTTTTTAATTTTAAATAGACGAAGAAACTGGATGCTCCGTAAGTGATTACACAATTTCTATAAGAAGACGTTGGAATTATGAAAATAATTGCGCTGCAATTGTTTGTTATGTGTCTACAGGTAAGCTCAATACCAAAATCAAAACACTGCTGGAATATTTACTAAATGCCTTGTTTGTTTAGGTTTGGCATCATCCACCACACAGTTGACACAATTAAGTGAAGATATACTCACCAACCACTGTCGTCTTGCACAAAGCTTGAGTGCTGAAAATCTAGACGAAATATTAACATATACTGTCAATCGTTTGCTCAAAGATTATCCGATCGCTAAACGAATATCAGACTCATGCCATATTTCAGACAGCGGCATTTGCGAACCAGATGGCTCTACTCATTTATCTACATCCATGACGAACAACAATTTAAATAGTAGTAACATTGGTGGAAATAATTTAACTGCCTATTCCATACCGGCAATTCACCTGAAAGTGTTCTACCAAGTAACTGCTGCACCGTCCGTGGAATTGCTGCTTAATGCACTTTATGATTTTCGACTTAAGTGCAAGGAGACCGCCAATATTGTATACACCGTTTTGCCCGCCTGTAGTTTACATAATTTTAGTACTTTCCTATCGATTTGCGGCGTTCGCCATGAGTAATTTCATATGAATTATGCATAAAGACTTGATGTAATTTAAAGTTTATCTACTCATCCTATGTACACTCAATTGGCCGAATTTATTATGCCTTTTACAATGATATTGTTTTAGGAAATTTCTGAAAAAGACAAACTCCCTGTTAGTGTTTATGTATGTAATGGGATAAAGCCCTGTGAGAATTGTTACTCAGTTGAATGTAAATTTGAAATGTATGGGATTAAAAATCGGTCCCACACAGAATTATTTTCATTTAAAGCGCAATTATGTGAAAAAAATATAATGTACTATTTTTTAACATCAAGTTTTTTTTTCAATTTTTTAATATTAAGTTCTGGTTCAATGTGACAAATATATGAAAAAAGAATGTCGATAGGTTAAAAGTCTTATTATTGAGGTATACAGTGTAATTGCATAACATCATTTCATACATATGTAATCATTTTTTTTATTTTGCTATAATGAAACTTTTGTACTAAAAATTATTCGATTTTAAATTTGACAGCCGTGGTTTAAAAAGGTTTGCTCGTAATTTTGAATGTAAATTGTAACAAACAAGACATTTTTAATAGGGAAGAAAACTGTTACAAAACCGCCATTGACTTTATTTCTATTGCATCGGCCAGTCTAAAAATATTATGATTCCGAAAATTTATGCTAAAGCATTTCAGTAATTAATAGCATATTTCATGTTGTTAAAAAAACAAAGAAGAAATTAGTGTTAACAGCCCTTATACAATTTGTTTAATTTTTTCTCATATATACTTATATAAATATCATACATATATACTTATAAAACTGGACTTTAATACCAAATATATAAATAAACGAGATTCTATTACTCGCATGTTAAAAATATATATATGTATGTCTTATTAAAATTATGAACTATTTACTATTAATTAACTACATAACTACTCGGTTTTTATTGTTATAAGCGAAGCATACCTACATACATCTCTGTAAAATCAAACCATTAAGGATCTTTCGCACACATACTTATGTACATGCTTACAAACGGGAAACCGCTTAAAATACACTATTTTAAATAAAATGAAGTGTCAATCATTTAACGGTAATTAATTAATCCTCAGAAAAAAAACATTTAAGAATTGTTATCTTTGTTTATTTTTTTTAGTCACTAGATAAGCACTAAGTTAATAAATGGCAAACCTAAATAAAATATACAAAAATTAATTGCTGAAAGCATAATGTAAACAAAAAATACTTTATTTATGAGCTACACACATGCATAATTAATATTAATGTCTTCCCTCTCGAAATCTTCTAATATCTAATTATAATGCGAATAGTTTATTCTGTAACTTTTGCGCAATTAGAACCAATTATCGAAGTGAAAGATATTGGAAGTTGCGTTCTTGCAATTGGTTGTGAACCCAAACTAACCTCTGCTTCTCACCTTTGAGGTCATAAATTTCGAACTTTTCTTGCTATAAGAATTTATTTCGTTACAACTTGAACCTTGTAGAACAGTCATGCAGAATTACTTGTCAGTTCGGCGGTTTTAGCTCTTTATTCATCCTTTTGAGTTTGGACGACTTAATAGCGGTGGAATCTTATTACGAGACTTATAGGTCGGAAAGTTAAGAGTTTAATTCACTTCAAGGCACAATATTAATGCGCCAGCGCCGTTGAAAACATATGTAAAACTGTATGTCCTTTCTAAATGATTTTCATATTAATTATGAACACGTAATACTTTTTCAATTGGATTTTCATATTCTCCACATAATAAAGAAATTGACACGTAATCAATTCATATACACCAAATTTCTAGTGAAGAATTTAATTCACGCAAATTGATTTATGGCTTGCGCATCAAAATATAAACAACAAGCAATTTCTTATCAGAGATCAACGAATATTTTCATCACTTCCGGCAATTTGGCAGCACTTGAACAACACAAAACAGCTGGCGAAGGTCTCGAACTATGGCGAAAGTTCTGTTCCATTTGTGAAAATAACTTGCACTCTCGTACTCTCCGAACGTGGGCCAATCAGATTGCAACAAAACTGACAGTCAAACAACCAATAAGAAAACACCACGCCAAAATTATAGGAGTAAAAATAGCCGGCGACACAGAGAGAACAATCAGTTGAATTTTACACATCAGAGAATAAAGAATATAATTTAGAAGTAAAAGTGAAGTCTGTAGTTTGTGAAAAATAATAAATTGGTTAAATACTGCCAAAATAATTAGACTTTAACGCACAGGATAAATAATTTCCAATAGTGATAGTAAAGTAAGTATATGCGAGTGCGAAAATTGTGCAGTTTTCACAAAATATTTCAAGAAATATTAGCTTATAAATAACGAATATAAAAATTTGTGAATACGTGTGTAGGAGGTGTAGGTGGTATATTTTTTTTTGCATGCATAAAGCCGTAGTGAAAGTTACTGAATTCCTTATGGATTTTGGTGTCAACAATGCACCGAATATACTGAATTATATTCATTTAATTGAAATGTGAAATCAGCTTGCAGAACTTATATTTTCTAGAAAATTCTTGCAAAGTTGTCTGTCTATACGTGTAGCGAAGAGAGTCAATTGTAGCGTTGCCAACTGCAATGTCGGAAGTTGCCAATCTTGGCACCAAATCAAAGCATGCATGAAATAATGAAATCAAATAAATTTAAATGCTCAATAAACATTTTAAACGAATTTTTGGAAAGTTGTTCTAAAAATATTTAATACCGTAACTAAGTACCAGAAATTAACACAATAACGAAATATTAGTTTAAAATGTGACCATTCAAAATTTTGAAATCGGAATTAGTTTTAACGACAATTACAGAACTGGAGGAATCAATATTAGAAATTGCATTTAACTTTAAATAATAATTCCTAGTTATATATTTTAGTATCGGTTAAAAAGTTCACAAATTAATCATTTTGACTTGCCCTCATTTATCCACACAGAAGTTTCTCAAAATTTCTAAGCCATATAAAAGAAAAACCCAAATGCCATTTCGAGCGAATGTGCTATTCTCTTTACAATTAGCTTGTACCTTGTACACGTCATACTTTTGTAATCGCGGCTTCAGTATGGTTGATATAAAAACATATTTAGCTGTAGTAAAGTACACGTCAGTTGCTGTTTTCTACTTATTGTTGCTAACAAAGTCTTATTTGATTTTTTAGCCATGCCTCAACTCACTCAAAATAGTAGGTCACGCACATACAAGCATACATTGTTTACTCAGTTTTTTTTGAGGCAGCTGTTTAAATAAGGTTTTTTTATGAAGTTAGTTTTAATTGAAAGAAATTTAGTACCACCTAGTAGTCTATTGGTAAAGGTATGTTAATAGCCTTATATTGTGTTCTTTGCTTTCCAACTTACTTTTAATTGAAATATTATGAATATGTACTATATATTCAAGTGTAGTCTACAAAGCAAGTCACATATAATTTATTTATAATTTTTAATATAAATACTTACGTACTTTGTATGTACATTGGAACTTACTTCTATGTATGTGAACGCAAACTCGTTTTCTGTATTTTGCATATATATAAGGGTCAGAGATCTCAACAGTGGTTGAAATGTGTCACTGTCTGCGTCTGTGAATTTTAGAAAGCTCTCTTTTTAGTAGCTATCGCTTTTAGGTATGCATTTGTCTACCTACATACCCATACGCTCCAACTTTTGTGTTAAAACACAACCGGCTCCCGGCTTTTTTCCACCGTAAGATTCCATTGGAAAGTGTACACGTATCGTGGATTTGTTGGTAAAAAGAAAGAATCTAACATTTTCGGTCTTTACTTTATATGTATGTATAACGTCATGTTTCACTTACGCGGCCACGACGAGCCGAATACTGACTATACAGTAGCGTATTTATGGAATATTGGGGATTAAAGGGGGTACACTCGTGTGTATGAATGTATATGTATGTTCATATGTACACGTAGCACACTTCGCATTTTGATTATCAATGCCAGTCAGAATTTATAAGAGCCTAGCTGCGGACGTGTTCTTTGCTTTTGTATAATTTTTTGGTGGGTGTAGATTATGTTTAAAAAAAGTAGAACCTTAATTTTAACAGTTATTTATTAAAAATGATTTTTATAGGCTTTATAATTTAACTGCTAACATACATTCGCGACTTTTTATATATTAAGTATGTACATATCTCTGTGACGTAAGCAATTTCACGATTACTTCGCAGATACATATGCAGATATGTACATATCCATAGGCACACACTGAAAATATTATGTATTTGTCTTATTACAATCTCTAACTTGTCTTTAAATTTTTTTTATTTTCTTTGCAGTTAATTTATTATAAATAGCATAAAGAAGCTGCATTCAATATGAAGGTGTGCTTATTATTACTGGCCGTTGTGGCCTTTGTTAGTCTCTCACATGGAGAGGAGAAAAAAGAGAAGGATAGGGATATCGGCACAGTGATTGGTATCGATTTGGGTACAACATACTCTTGGTAAGTTGAAATTAGACTAAAATGTAATTTTTGTTGAAATATTAAACGTGTATTTTTAAAATAATTAAATATCAGAGTACTTAAAATATATTAATTTTAATTTTGTTTTAATTTATGCAGTGTTGGTGTATACAAAAACGGCCGTGTGGAAATTATTGCCAACGATCAGGGTAACCGTATCACACCATCCTATGTAGCGTTCACTGCTGACGGCGAGCGTCTAATTGGTGATGCCGCTAAGAATCAGTTGACAACAAATCCCGAAAATACAGTATTCGATGCTAAGCGTCTCATTGGTCGTGAATGGTCAGATTCCAATGTTCAACATGATATCAAATATTTCCCCTTCAAAGTTGTTGAAAAGAATTCAAAACCACACATCAGTGTAGCCACAGCCCAGGGCAACAAAGTGTTTGCACCAGAAGAAATATCTGCTATGGTTTTGGGTAAAATGAAGGAAACGGCCGAGGCCTATCTTGGCAAGAAGGTTACACACGCTGTAGTTACAGTTCCAGCTTATTTCAATGATGCTCAACGTCAGGCTACCAAAGATGCTGGCGTCATTGCCGGTCTGAACGTTATGCGTATTATCAATGAACCTACTGCTGCTGCTATTGCCTACGGTTTGGATAAGAAGGAAGGCGAAAAGAACGTGTTGGTGTTCGATTTGGGCGGTGGTACTTTTGATGTCTCGTTGTTGACCATCGATAATGGTGTTTTCGAGGTTATTTCTACCAATGGTGATACTCACTTGGGTGGTGAAGATTTCGATCAACGTGTTATGGATCACTTTATCAAATTGTACAAGAAAAAGAAGGGCAAGGATATTCGCAAAGATAACCGTGCAGTACAGAAATTGCGTCGTGAAGTTGAGAAGGCGAAGCGTGCTTTGTCTGGTTCCCATCAAGTTCGTATTGAAATCGAATCATTCTTTGAAGGCGAAGATTTCTCCGAAACTTTAACCCGTGCTAAATTCGAAGAATTGAACATGGACCTGTTCCGCTCTACATTGAAACCAGTAACAAAGGTACTTGAAGATGCTGATATGAATAAGAAAGATGTGCACGAAATTGTTTTGGTTGGTGGTTCAACTCGTATTCCAAAAGTGCAACAACTTGTAAAGGACTTCTTCAGTGGCAAAGAACCATCTCGTGGCATAAACCCCGATGAAGCCGTTGCCTACGGTGCTGCCGTACAAGCTGGTGTACTCTCAGGCGAACAAGACACAGATGCTATTGTATTGCTCGATGTCAATCCATTGACCATGGGTATTGAGACCGTCGGTGGAGTGATGACAAAATTGATTCCACGTAATACTGTTATTCCAACAAAGAAATCTCAGATCTTCTCAACTGCTTCTGATAACCAACACACCGTCACTATCCAAGTATACGAAGGTGAACGTCCAATGACCAAGGATAACCATCTGTTGGGCAAATTCGATCTCACTGGCATCCCACCAGCACCACGTGGTATTCCACAAATTGAGGTATCATTCGAAATTGATGCTAACGGTATTTTGCAAGTGAGTGCCGAAGACAAGGGTACTGGCAACAAAGAAAAGATTGTCATCACCAACGATCAGAACCGTTTGACACCCGAAGATATTGACCGTATGATCCGCGATGCTGAAAAATTCGCCGATGAAGACAAGAAACTGAAAGAGAAAGTTGAGACACGCAACGAATTGGAGTCATACGCTTACAGTTTGAAGAATCAAATCGGCGATAAGGATAAATTGGGTGGTAAATTGAATGATGAAGAAAAATCCAAAATGGAGAGCGCAATCGATGACTCCATTAAATGGATGGAACAAAATGCCGATGCCGATCCAGAGGAATATAAGAAGCAAAAGAAGGATTTGGAAGCGATTGTACAACCCATTATTGCCAAATTGTACCAAGGAACTGGTGGTGTACCACCAACTGAAGAAAGTGATGATGATGCGAAGGACGAGCTGTAAGGAGTGGGTGGAATAAAAATTTTTAGTCCTTAATACGTTTACTATTAATTTCATTTAGTTATTAAAACTGATAGAAAAATTCAGACTGATACACATTTAAACAAAATAAGTTTAATAAATTTTGAAGATCTAGTATGAAGAAAGACAGAAGAAGCCAATACAGTCCACAAATATTTAACAAAACAGATGCCAGTTTTCTATTCCATTTCAAACAACCCTAAATTCTTATCAGCTCAAGTAATAATATCGCTTTCCATTGTACAAAACCTTATTTATCTAACTTAAATAATTTGTATGCTATTTAAAAATTTAGTTTATTTATTTTTTGGTCTTAATTTTTGTATAAACTTTTTTTTTCGAATGTGTCTCACATTCCATGTCAAATCTGTCCAAAATGCATGTAAATGCTTTTTTGAACTCGATATGTAAAGAAGAAGCACTTAAATGATTTTTGCAAATGTACATTTCTCATTCACGCTCATGAATTTGTAACGCATGGAATAAGTGATTTCATTTTATACTAAAAGGCAAAATATTGTAATTGAAGAGAAGCGAACTAAACTCTTCGATTTTACGAAGAGTTTTATGACATAATGAATAAAAAAAAAAAATATAAATATATTTGTTGTGTATTTATTTCCATTGCAATATTCCAGCGTGTGTAGTCGGTTATTGCCCTTTGCCATTTAACACAAGAACGCATTGAAATTAATTCATATCTTTCTTTCGTTGCTTGTGTGACATGCTTCGCTGTCTTGTAAAAGTAAACGTTGTCCAGATTAATGCCGTCCAATACCAGAAGTTTATCTCCAATACTACCTACATGAATTGTGTACAAGTATCTATGTCCATATATCGCCCACCATCGATTTTGGTTTTAAATTATTGTAGAAACATTTATAGTGAACCGGAGAATCTATAATTATATATAATATTATAGATTCTCTGGTGAATCTTGAGATTTGGTTGCAGCCGCTTAACACTTTCATTCGCATTGTCTTGACGAGATTATATTTTAAGAATTATTTTATGTGACATTGCACGGGCGCTTTAACCCAATATAGTTTGCCATTCCAATTGCATCAGGTAAGCCTTTCTTTTCTTGGAGAATTCTATATTGAACAGAGATTCTGATTCTATAATAATAAAGATTCTCTTTATGCATTTAAAAAAGTTTATGCTGAATTGGCAGCACTTAATTGCATACATTTGGGCGTATTTCCAGTTCCGCCTGTTTTTACTCTACACTTGGCAGCATTGTAAACTCTGGCGCAAAGAATTTGTAATAATGAGAACGAATTTACTGTTTTATTTCGTGGTGGCTGCAGAGTAAAGTTTTATTTATTTAATTTTTTATATATATAAATTTAATTGGTTTTAATAATTGTTAATATCTATGGATATGTTTCTTTGCAATAATTGTTAATATTATTAATTTTATATTTTGTAATTTTTTTAATAAGTAACAAATAAGCAACAAATAAGAATATTAAAGAGGAAGTGATTTAATCTCCTTTTTAGCAATCTTGTAATTAATTTCTTTTTTTCTTCTTCTTGCGATTTCTCTGTTTTTAGTAGAAAATCACTTGTCTGCATCTGTCAACAAAATTATTTATGAGGTGGCTATTGAATTCGCTACTCGCGATTTTTCAGAAGTTGTTTCAATAGTGCCATGAATTTGCACCTTATCATTCTTATAAATTCTCTGCGCTTTTGTACAAAACAACCAGATTTGTGTTAAATTTTAAATGGAAGAAAAGTGCAGCAGTAGCCCATCGAATGCTTGTTGAAGATGAATTTGCGCCCACTCATATGCTGTTGTTGCTGCAGCGGTTGGCTAACCTTACTTAGAAGCATGTTGGATCAGTTCAAGTCATCGAGGTCATCTAACGGGGGAGGTGCTGTAAAGGAGCTGTTTCTACGACAGTAAAGGGGGTTGGAAGTGTTAGTTTTAAGTGACATGCAAAAAGGTGCCCAGTATCGTGCGGAGAATCGTTGCATGCAGGACATGTCGGGATCAAGTCTGGACAGATAGTAATTTAGCCTACTACAATGTTCAGATTTAAGTTAAGCCAGGATAGCTCGAGCTCTTCGTCAGCAATAGGTGGTGGTTTGACTGCAAGAACGCCATTCACTGGAAGAGAGTTCTGGAAGTTAATGATAGACTCTCGGTGTATGGCGTTTTGTTTTATGCTCATCCTTAAGCCGTTCTGTTCAGCGGTTGTTGAAGATGTGCGCGGATTTTATCAGGAAAAAGGCTGACACCCTTTCGGCGACTTAACCCTGTTTAAGTCAACAGGTTACTCACTGTTAGGTCATGCAGAGTGGTTTCGACGCCTCAAAAGTAGTGATTTTCGTATCGTAGCCAAAGGGTGTTCCGCTGTTAAAACCACGTAAAACCATTGATTCGTTATCTACTACGTCTAATGCGTTTAAGCTGTACCTTGCACCAGGAGATCTTACCCGACCCACAGTATTCTCCAGATCATACTCCTTCCGACTACTGGCTTCTCGACAAACGCAAAACGATTTGGAGATTCGTCGGTTCGGATCTTTAGAAAACAAATCGACGAATGACTCATTTTATAGAGATTGTATTCGAAAAATTCCAGAGAAATGGGAAAAGTAGACGCTTCCGACGGACAATACTTTAAAGGATGTAATTTTAATTTTTTTCCGATAACAAAACTTTCTTGCACACAAACGGGATGAAATAATTTGTTAATGGGCTTTTAATTATTGTACAAAAAAATGATTAACTTGTGAGATGGAAAAATGTATTAAATTCTCGGATTGTCATTAATATGCTGATGCATTGATGAATCATGTTCCAACTTTTATTTCATTATTCATATTTTCATTTTTAATTTGTAATATGTATGTACGTATATATAAGTAGTAGCTTAATATGTACGAGTATGTCTGTACATATTTTTCTTACACAATAGTATGTATGTATGTATGTTTACTGAATATTTCGTTTCAAATATTCCTTTTACTTTAATAAAAAAAATTGCTCTAATCCTTGCTTACGACGAGTAAAAAGAAGGCTTATCAAGTTTTTTAAAATTTACTAATATAAATGTACACATTTATTAAGGAAAACTATATGATGTTTTGTAAAAAAAAATCACTTCACTTGATATATACGTTTTACTGTAAGTGTGTATGTATGAGCGGTATTTTTATATTAAAATATGTATTTAGTATGTTATTAGTATCGCTTCTACATACATATGTAGACATTTCAAACGCCGCACTGAATAACACACATTTCAATGATTGGGAATTAAAACCGGAAATATGGCTGGCTATACGTAATTTGGAGTTTCCGTTTTAAAATCGATAATTTTCATTTTTATAATTTTTTATTTTTTAGTTTCTTTGAATACTCGGAATGGATTTTGGTGAAATGAAATAAAAAACGGCATATCATTGATTACTCGTATTACTAAGCGAAAACCCGCAGCCGCAAAACCGGCACGACAGTGTTTTTCGACAGATTTTCATATACGTATGTACATATGTATGTATGTAAATCTCGAAGTTTGCGTACTTATTCTTTAATCCTGTTTCAGATTTAGATACGTCTGATCCCCCATGTTGTTAGTGTTATTTTCCTCCTCTTTCTGTTGAGTCCGCTGTAGCCAAATATATATATTTTTTTATTGCATTTACAGTGGCACAGACAAATTTGAACGAGTATACATATATTTAAAGAGGGAAAAGAAATTAAAAGAAAAAAAGAAAATTATAAATGATTACATTTTTTTTTTTTGTAAAAAGAAGTAGTCTAAAAAGTAAGGAATGAGAAGAGAATATTGATGGCAGAGTGAAAGTAAAGAAATTTTAATATGATTAAACAAGTGTATGTATGTTTACTTGTGTATGTATATATGCAGTGCGTGTGTGAAAATTATGATTATGCGTTACTATTTTTTTTTTTAATAATATTCCTTACATACGCTAAGTTAAAGCCGATAATGCTCTGAAATTACTAACTCAATTACATACACACTGACTGAGTCTGATCAAAATGAGTGATTTATTTAACACGTTTAAAATGTGTATGAAATTATTTACGATTTCTTGAACAAGTAGAGCAATCGAAGCTTTATACACATAGCCAAAATGAAAACACTGTAACAAAATAGCTTTGTATCCCACAAAATGATAATCAAAACATAAGTACAATTGTTTGCTTATTTCTATAAATTTAAAAATAATATTTCATTTACTTATTTTTTACTTCAAATAATAATACACTTTTTCCAATTTAAAAAAAATTTAAACAAAAAAATAATTTTAAAATAAATATAAACAAAAAAAAAGAATAAATTAAAAAAAATATAAACAAAGAAAAAATAAAGAAAAAATAAACAAAAAATAAAAAAAATTATTAAAAATAAATATTATTAAAAAAAACAATAAAAAAATTATTATTAAAAAAAAAATAATAAAAAAATTATTATTAAAAAAAAATAATAAAAAAATTAATATTAAAAAAAAATTATTATTAAAAAAAAAATAATAAAAAAATTATTATTAAAAAAAATAATAAAAAAAATTAATATTAAAAAAAAAATTATTATTTAAAAAAAATAATAAAAAAAATTATTATTAAAAAAATATATAATAAAATTATTATTATTATTCATTAATTATGTATAAAAAATAAATTAAATAAAAAATATATAAAAAAAAATAAATAAATTAAAAAACAAATAAAAATATATAAAATAAATAAATAAATTTAAAAAAATATATATATAAAAAATAAATAAATTTAAAAAAAAATATTAAAAAAATAAATTTAAAAAAAAAAATATTAAGAAAATAAATAAATTTAATATATAAACAAAAAAGTATTGTATAAGGAACGATTTGGAAAAGAAATGAACTAATAGAGCGCTTCCCAACAGCAACAACCACATCTCAAGGAATATTCCACTTCTGCTGAATTCTTATTCGACCAACATTCCGCGAAAATTTGTATGTATAATAAACTCGTATATATGTTAAGATTATTTTGCTGATAATATTTAAATAATAATTTCAAATTGGATTTTGAAAAGGTTTGGATAAGTCTCGCAAAACGATTAAAAAAAAATCAACAAAATCTTCTTTTATCTTGCTGATTACCGCGCAACTAAATGTCTGCCTGGTTACCACCGCGCAAGTGAGTTTTTAGAATTCTACCAATAGGAAGACATACAAAACCAACACAGATTTCCATAAACTTTAGCTAAAACTCCTAAATCTGCCAAATGCAGAAAAGAAGAAAAGACGTTTTATAAATTTTATTAAATATTATATAATTGAACGCTAAGGAATATATATTTTATAAAAAGGCAATCAAATATTGACCTCTTATGCCCCGAAGAGCATACGACTTTTATTCCAAGGTAATAATAGTTGAATGTACATCTGTATATACATTTAGATGAATGTATTATATTGCATAGAAGTTTGTTTTTGAACTATTGTGAAGCGTGAGTCCATCACTCTCCTTCGGCTTCTGGATCCGGGCGGCTTAGAATTTCCTGACAGAGAGCAATATAGTCCTGTGTGAAATTTAGGAAAAAAAAACGTCTTTTAAACTAAGATACTTTTTTAATTTTTATAATAAATTTGTCTTTAACAAGGAACACAAGTCCATATTAGAAACATATCACTTACATGAGGAGAGCAGACAACATTGAGATGGACGTATTTTTTTAGCTGATCGCTGCTAAAACATGGCACATCTAGACACAATTAGCAGCATTAACGAAAATTGTACAAAAATATACGTACGCACATATATATTTATACATACGTGTACATATATGTATGTGTTTGACAACACATGTACGGTCAATCCTTTATGGATTTGTTTCTTTTCAACCAAAAATATTAATCAAATTGTACCTTCTATTGGATCCAAGCTAAAAATGTGTGTTTCTCTATATATTTTAATAATCAACGCTAACTGAAATTGCTTTCGTTCCTATTTAATTGTTATTGATAATGCATAGAATTTCTTTCTTTCTTCTTTATATCCACAGCATGGTACATGTATGTACGTGTATGTGTATGCTAGCTTGGCGAAAATTTAATCGATAAAAACTTCTTTGCTATCTGCATGAACATATATATATATATATATATATATATATATTTTTTTTTTTTTGGTAACATACTGCGGTTACAGCACCTAACCGATTACACTAAATCTTTAAAACTCCCGCCCCCGTTTATTACGTAAACATTTGACTGTATTTAAATTTCCGGATAGGATAAATGTAGATATGTTTATATATATATATATTTTTTTTCCAAAGTTATTGTCGAAGTTCGAATAATAATTTTTCTTAAACTTCATGAAACAGCGTTCTTCAACCAAAAATAATGGATTTACTACTTAACCTAGAAATTGCCCCGCTTTGTTTATGAAAAGCTTAGTAAAGTGAAATCATGTCAACTTGTGTTTTTTTAAATTTCAATTAAGTTTACTTTGCATTACGAGCATATGTATGTATACAAAAACATTATTTTCTAATATTAAAATTTATTCATCATTCAAAACTACATTAACAGAATGCAAATTGTTATGAAGCTGTGAATGTTATCTAATTCCTACCAGAGGAGTTATATTTATATATATATATATATAGTTATGTATATAAAAATAAAAAATACAGCATCATATTAAAAAAGAGCTTCAGAAATGTATTGAATATCGACACTTTGATGAACAATTCGTGTTAAATAGGATAGCATGAAATGAATAATGGACTAATGAATGTTTCTTTTCTTTTATACATGCATTAACGATACAAAAATTCAATACATCGGGAACATGTAGGCTGATTTATTGTGAAAGTTAATGCGTGAGTTGTTGAAATGTGTGTATGTACGTGTATGTGTGTACGTGTTTGCGTTTTTCTGCAATACGTTTTTGTTGTTCTGTATATATTAATAATGAACTTGTTTATGGCTGAGTTTTTTTTTTTTTTTTTTTTGTTTTGTATCGCATTTAGTGAAAATGAATTCTACATAAAATTCAATACATTTTGTGCTAATTGAATTTTGTAACGCGTTTTCTAATGTTTGTTTGTGTGTGTTTGGCTGCCTTTTAATTGTATTTCTTAAAGAAAATCAATTTCCATTCTGATCTCTATATTTTTTAAGTTTGCTTGAGTTGTTTTTGTTGTTTATAATTCTTAATTTTTATTAATTTTTCTGTTTTTTTTTTCAATGTAAACGTTTTTTTTTTTATAAAATTTATGTTAAATGCAATAATCATGAGGAAATTAAAAGTAAAAAAAGAAAAAAGGAAAAACGATATTAAAGTTTAAGTGGTGAGCAAAGAAATTTCATTTCAAATTTACCGCTCGTAGTGGCATTTTAAAGTTGGCTGCTGCCTGCAGTTGAATTTGATAAGCTAAGCTATGAATTTTGAAGCCGTAAAGTCTGCAAAGAGATACATATAAAAAAAAAATGTTTTAATTTTGTTGTTTAATAATCAAATAAGGTAATATTAGTACATATATATCTATGTAATACATTAAAATATACCATGAAATAAGTCTAGAAAAACTGAGTTAGTTTTCAGCGCAAGTTCTTAGTTCAGTTCTTTGCTTCTTAACACAAGGAGTCCGAATTTAATCAGAAAAGCAATATGTAAATTTAGATAGATACACATTATCTCTACATACGTAATCTCTCAATTATGTTTAATATATTGGCGTTTACTCCATCGATAAATGAGATTTGTTATTTATGTATTATGATTCGGCAAAAAACATTAGCAAAATTTGGTGTCTATATTTTAAATTCACTTCGACTGAGCGAAGCCTTTTGAAAACAACAACTTCATGACTACAATGGAAAAAGTTCCTCCTAACTGCTAATTCAGAATTTTCTAATTCTAATAAATTTCTTATAAGTGAAAAGATTCTACGAAATTTGTTCCAATTGGCCTTATAAAGAAAAAAAAAAAACAACGTAATAGTCTAATTTCTAAGTACGTGTCCTTACATTGTAATTTTTTAATCTCTTTTCGCTTTTCTTACCTTGGAACAAATTGATTAGTCGGCCGTTTTGGACGATATTCAGGATGTACCATGAAGAGCATATGTGGAAATCCTGTGCCGAAATATGCACCATCCGTGTGATGATGACGCGATGATTTTGGCGTATATACATCAATACATTTGGGACAATAGGTTTTCACCATAGCCTCACCAGGAATATCTGATAAGCCTGTAAATACCAATTAAAGAATAAACACGAAGTAATTATTGAAATTAAGGATTTTAGTATGATGTGACCAACCTAAAGGTAACATGGGCTGGCTTTCACAATATACACGTGGGCAATGTCCGAAATCACCAGTTTGGTATTTTTCGATCATTTGCGCAATACCGCGGTTTGTCAAGATGTATCGGGCATGTATTAAGCCGTACAACATCTCAGCTGCCTGCTCCGTCATATCCGACTGCAAGGGATTTTCTTCCAGATCTTCCTCTAAATAAATCAATAAAAGAAAAGTATTATTAATTATCTTACAAATATGGACTAAGAAATATTTCTACATGCCTGGTTCCAAATCGAGAATCATATCAAGTGCATTTCTATAATTTGGTACTTGTTCATTTAGACCGGTTAAATTGAATTTATCCTGTATATAATCCTCATCAACCTGGAAAAAAGAAAAATATGAAATTCTTTCTAATTGACACGGAACATTTCAAACTTATAAACCATGAAATAGCTTATTGAAAATTATAAATAATTTTGACCTCAACAATCTGTAAAATTAGAGACCTATGTGGGAACAATTAAAAACAGCAAAGGAATGGTAAATACACAAAACTAATAGTTAGGGGTGGCAGATTGTTAAATCAAATTATATGGCAACAACCTAAAGAAATTTTGTCGGCACTTGGAATTTATGCACGCGTACTTCTGCCATTCCCACATTGTGAAAACTATGGTGATTAGATAACAAAGAGGAATTGGAAATAATATCAAAATCTAATTTTTGGCTTTTGTAGACACTGAATTTCAAAATTAAACTTACCTCACAGAAGAATTCATTGCCGCGCAGCCCACAAAACCATGTTACCCAGGAGACTTCTTCGGAACTGCTCATTTTTCTGTAAAAAAAAAAATCGAAAGAAAGTGCGAGCACAAGGAAATAATGTTAGTCTATTTCCGACACATGATACTTTGTACACTTTACTTCAATTTTTACAAATTCTACGTACATTAAAGGTATTATTTTTGCAAAATTAACTAAAAAAATTAATAACACAAAACAAAATTCGTTCTCTTAGACGCTTATCTATAGATTTTTTGCAATTTTCTTTAGTTTTCTTTTATTAAAGCACTATAAAAATGAGCAGAGGAATTCACTTTTCATTCACAATTCCGACATTTTTGCCAGCAGCTACGAAAATGAATAAAATATTTCACGACTCGCTTTCAGCACACTGCTTTATCATCCTGTCCGCCTCTCTATGCTTTCCGTTAACTATTCCATTTTGCTTTACCTTTTCGTCATGTTTTTTTTTTCTCTTCTAACAACGGCAACACTGTAGAGTATGAACATACAAATGTCAGTTGTCCCCTTCACGCACGACAGAAAAAGAAAACGAATATGATGAGAATATTGTGAAGTATATACCGTATAGCGGCCAATATGGGAAGATACGGTATAAACTGAAAGCCGATTAATCAACCGACCAATTGCTACACTATCTTAAATGCAAGACAGCAAAAAATGCCTCCTTGTTTTCTTTCCAACTGACTGCAGATATATTTAATCACTGAAAAAGCATTAACTGCAAAAACTTTCATACTTCTCTGTTCTTCAATTGGAGCACACACATTCCACCATAAGTTATCTTAGTCAGAAGAGCTTTGGTTAATGCTTTTATACAATTAATTTAATTTTAATTTTTGAAACGGCACACTCACCTATTGTTGCTTTGCCCAGCCACACTCCACAGAAAATTAAAATGAAAAGAAAATTTCGCAAGAGAGAAAATCGAAAGGGGAGAGTCATCCACCAGGGTTACGTTGTAGTATGGCAAGTGTTGCAATTTTAGTATATTTCGTATATCGCATTCTTTTTTGCTTCATTCGCATTTTAAATTATTTTATATTTCTATACGTAAACAACAAATAAATATATATAATTGATTAAATATTTTGAATACCTGACATACATATTATTTCTATCAGCTAAAAATATTTCCAACTATGTCAAGATTTAATAATTCTAACGTTTTGTTTTGAAGTAAGAAAAATGTGCTCTACAACTCTTCACTTTTGAAAAAAAAAACACTTTCATTTGAAGTTATAAGGAGAAATAATGGTAAATAAACTTGAAAACATTTAACTTTGAATCTGGTTACCTAACAAAGCTTCAGTAAATCTTACAATGACTTTTGAGTAGATATTTCGCATTTTATAGGATTGTGTTAAAATCTATGTATATCGTCAACAGTTCATTGAATAGAAGTTATGCTACGAGTTTTTTTTTGTTTTAAATCATAAACAAACATTGAAATCAGCAAAGATATAACACTATTTTTTGAAAAAAAGTTCAATTTGATATCAAAATTGTATTACAAAATTACCTCATTTCTTTCGTTGTTGGTATACAAAGTATGTAAAAGAATTACCTAATCTTTAGTAATTATGAATTTTTTTACGTTCTGGTCCTTTTCAACGATGTGGCAACATTAGTTTTTCAATCACGTTGTGCTGCAATTGAAAACAATTCCTTCATACAAATTGTTTAAAGTTTTGTGAAATGCCGGATGATGAAGGATCAGATCAGAAACCTCCCCGTCGGGGTGGACCCAAACGTTATTTCCAGTCCCCTGTCGCTGAGGAAGACGTGAAGCCAATTAAATTAAAAAGTGCCAGTCAACAAAACTTCTCGGGCGAAATCATTAAGGTCGAACAAGATAAGCAGGTACCGTTCAGAAAAGCCTTTCATCGTAAAGGAACTGCCCATAAACAAAATAAAATATCTTCTTCGGATGTAAATAAAAAACATAAAATTCCAAAAGATACTCTTAAAAAGTACCATAAAGGGCCTAAGGTCCGAACAAAGGGTGTAAAAACAAAATTTTTCAAAGAAAAACAAGAGCGGAAAGAAGTGTACTTGGAGTATGCAACGGAGCAAGCGGCGCGTACTGAAATTTTACTTACGGAGAGGCAAGGTTTCATTGAACCCGACGAAGAAGAGCTGACAGCACAGTATAGACAAGAGGAAATTGCTCAAAATGTAAGTAATGAAATAAATTTGTGAATTATTTGATTCCATCAACTTTTCTCCTGTTAAAGGTCGATATTTTATCAGCATCGAAGCACTTTAAACTTAATCTTGATTTCGGACCGTATTCCATGCGATATACTAAGAATGGACGACATTTGCTTCTTGGCGGTCGCCGGGGACATGTTGCTGCCTTTGATTGGGTTACGAAAAAACTCCTATGTGAAATGAATGTCATGGAGGAGGTAGTTGATGTCTCTTGGCTGCACGTTCACACCATGTTTGCATGTGCACAGAAGGATTGGGTTTACATTTATGATAGTCAAGGCACAGAACTGCATTGTGTTAAACGTTTGTATAGAGTTAACTGTATGGAGTTTCTGCCTTATCACTTTCTACTTGCAACCGGCAATAAAGATGGTTATGCATCTTGGTTAGATGTATCTATTGGTGAGTTAATAAGCAACTTTAATACAAAACTTGGAGACATACGAATTATGCATCAAAACCCCGGTAATGGTGTTTTGTGTATTGGCGGTGGTAAGGGTGTGGTGTCCATGTGGTCGCCTAAAGTACGAGAACCCCTCGCAAAAATGTTATGCCACTCCACACCTATAAGTGCTTTAACTGTTGATCCCAAAGGAAAATATATGGTGACAGCAGGCCAAGATCGTAAGGTTAAAGTGTGGGATATACGCGCTTTAAAGGGACCAATGGTGAGCTATCAGCTAAGATTGCCAGCGAATCAAGTCGTCGTTTCACAACGTGGATCTTTGGCGTATTCACAAGTAAGATCATTTACTGATATATCAAATTTCAACATGTTAATAAAATGTAAACTATTATTTAGGGTACATACTGTGAGATTCAATCGAATTTGTTAATTGGAAAAGAGGCGAGAACGCCCTATCTGCGACAGACCTGTGATTCCTTTGTACATGGATTGCGTTTCTGTCCATATGAAGATATTCTTGGCATCGCCACTGCTAAAGGTTTCCAATCAATGCTTGTGCCCGGCTCTGGTGAACCTAATTATGATGCATTGGAAGATAATCCTTATCAGACCAAGACGCAACGTCGTGAACACGAGGTACACGCACTCTTGGAGAAAATACCACCAGAGCTCATTACGTTGGATCCGAATGAAATTTCTGCTGTCGATGTGCCTACTTTGCAGGAAAAAGTAGATGCAAAGGGAGCCTTGTTCCATTTGAAACCACCTAAAATAGACTTCAAATCTCGACATAAAATGAAAGGACGCGGTGGAAGCGCAAAAGCCTCACGTAATAAACAAATTGTTAAAGACCTCAAGAGAAAAGTAAGTTTTGATAAAAATAATTCATGGTATATAAAACTGAGTTTAATTTCTTTTATAATTTAAACAGGAGTTCATTGAAGATGTCAAAAAGTCAAAGCGGACTGTCTTCAACCAGCACACAAAAAATTCCAATGATTTTATACCACTGGAAACGAGTGAACCATCAGTACTCGATCGTTTTAAGTCGAAAGCTGCGAAGAAAAAGTGATATTGTAAAATTTATTGTCGCAAAGTTTGTCCTTCACTTCCTTTAAATATAAAAAATGGAAAAAAATCAATTCCAAAAATTTGTATTTATTTTACATTAGTTGCCGTTAGAGCGAAGTGGTCAAATTTATTGTCGTAACAAGCACACAGATTTTTGTTTGCCTGAAAATTACTTTTCCACCAGCTTTCTCAAAGTAATTAAATGAATAGCACTCGTTCCATGCTTTTAATTAAATACACACACATGCGATTAGGATAGTATATATTTGAAATAGCTAACAATTCTCTTGTCAGTAATGTGTTTATCTATATTTTCATGCAACTGTTCCTTATAATCAGTTGTAAAGTTTTTCTCCGTCCAATAGTACAGATTCATTATATGCTTTTTCCCTTCAAAAGCATTTGGTGCTCCGGAAATTTGTAGTTTTTGTAAGTTTTCAATAACAGACTCAATTGTATTGTCCAATGCTTGCAAAAATAACGAGTTCTTTTGTTTCGCTAAAGAGGACATTGCTATTACTGTCGATACTTGTATACTTTGCTTAAGCAAAAGTTGAGGTAGATATTTCAAAAAGCCATCAAACGAATCCTCTCCGTAATTCCGTCGTAATGACGGTGAACGCACAATGTCACAAATCAACGTGAGTACTTCTGTTTCAGAGTTTGTTTTAGCAGGAAAAGTATTGTGCAGAAAAGCTTCCATAGTGTTAGTCAAAAGCGTATGCATTGCAGTTTTGTGCAATTGTAAAAAGTGTTCATCGTTCTCTAATAGGCATATGCGTAAAGACTTTGTTAGTGTTTGATAATTTTGTAATTGATGTGCTTTCAGATTACTAACAACTTCTTCAAGGTATTTTAACAAAGTGTCAAATCGTTCGGTTTGAGAGTCCATCAAACTGTGCGATTTAAAAAATTGGCACATTAAATAAGTCACACAAATATTTTGCTCCAAACATAACTGGCCGCCACCAAGATTCAGCAATTTTTGTTGTTTCTTTTGTGATTTTTTGCTTAAATCCGTATCTATAATCAGATTTCATTAATATAATAAGCAAGCGTTAACAATAAACGAAAATTTACCTGTTTCGCAATTCTGTTGATAGGGGAATCCGTCTGTTAAAAAGCTGTTGGCAAAAGTTTCGGCATATTGTTGTCGGAACCACATGCTTAGTTGACTATTCCTTTCCGTCTTTTCATGTAACTCAATTAACATCCATAGATTTTGCAGTATTTCCAAAACAATCTTCAATGTCTGCGCAGCCTCACTTGCTAAAGTTACAGTTGCCTTTTGATCCTGTGGACGTACCTCAATCCACGACTCAACGAGCAAAGGCAGAAGGTGGTTAACATATTCTCGTAATCTCTCCTCCTCCAATGTTTCTACAGCATCAGCATTATTATTACCTAAAGATGGTCTCAAAGCAGCCATTAAGTCGATTTTGATTAGACCGAGGAAAGGTCGCTTTAAATTGTAATGTTGTGGTGCATTTGGATTGAATGTGACATTTTTCACAAAATTATTTACAATTTCTACACTGCTAGTACTGCGTTTATGTTCAACCAAAGTGGCGAGCATTTGACGTAACCGTTCCAAAACTTTTGTGCGCCATTTTATTGTAGTTTGCTTCTGTCCCAAACGTATTGTGAGCGTTCTACTTGTTTGTTCACCTTCCTTTCTAACCCGGGAGATCATTTCGAGAAAATTTCGTATAATCTTTACACTGTGGGTAACCACCAATTTCGGTACATTTTCCAATAGTACATCCAACATAAGTAGGGAATCTTCTTGTATCATTGGTTGAATATGTGTCATAGCACAACGCAGATAAGACGAGATAATATGGAAGAAAGGCTCAACTTCTTCCAAAGTCAAAGACGTTAAAAGGCATTTCAACACCTTGAATGAATCCCTACGTGTATCCTTATCTACATCAAGCGCAATAGCAGAAACACTTTGGACAAGACTGTGCATATAACCGGTTACATTGATACGTTTTGCAATTAAAGCCTCCCGCAAATTTCGCAGTGCATCGGCACGTGCATTGGAGCTGTGATGCTTCAGACGTGAGATGGTTTCCTTTAAGTTTATTTGACGTTCTCCATCGGCGTACTGCGACTCCTTTAATTGTTCCCTGATCGTGATTTTGCGAACTTTGAATTCCGTTTTTGTGACATTTAAACCTTTAGGCAATTTGGTGGCCTTTAGCTTAACTTTTGCCTTTTCAGAACGCAATTTCTTTTTATGGCTTACCATGATAGTTTTACGTTTGATAAACGGTTAAATTCTACTTGTTAGAAATCAAAACAAATCTTCCACGTTTTCTATTTTCAAAATAGTTTTTAATTTTTTTTTTTGTTAGAGTTGCCACATTCTCTACTATAGAGTATTTATAGCATGTTTACATCTAATGATACCGGGAAGATTATCGAGAGACGTTTTATAAAGAGAGAACTTAGGACAAGTCACAGAGACTGGGTTTAGGGGTATCTTGTGGAAACTCGCTGCGTATAGGATATACGTTCAGAGTGTAAGGATTTGTTTATATCAATCAAAATATCAGTATATTCATATACGTTCTTTGGCATTACAAATACCCTTTGTTAGTTTTTTAGTAGTATAATTAGCATAGATTAAAATAGAGGCATCGCATTTTCAAGATCGTCATAAACACCAGCGTGGTGGTTGATTTCTCCAGAGAAGATTTTCAAGGGGTTATTGGGAAGGCGAAAGCCTCCGAATAGGCCCCGATGGAATAAACTGATGATCAAACACTTGGGACCAGCGGGAGCAGACCGCTCTCAAAATATCCGCTACTTAAGCTTGGAAAACCATTCAACAAGGAAGAGTAACTTGCCTGATATCACTCCTTTCCCCAGTTAAGGAAATAATTTGGGTCATGATGCTTTCGCCCTTCGCACACCATCTTAGCCCGCAAGCAACCTGTCTTCCGAAAAGTGCTGAGCCCCACAAGCGCACTCTACTTCATAGAATACCCAGATAGTGCATGTAGAATTAATCAAAACCAGCTTTCACGTGAAGTAGCACTCCCCACGAAATTCCCTGCTTCTGATAGGATATTGATATCTTATGTTCGAAAGTTAACTACTATCTTCCCGAATTTTCACCACTTCTTCACACAGCTTTTACTGTCGATCAGCTACTACAACCTGCGAAATTCACGGTCCAGCTGAACGAAGGAGTACTGGCTCAAAGTCAATGGCATATGAAACCCGACAAAATTACAGCCCAAAGTTACCGGAAGTCACATTCGACAGCTCGCACTCTTTCACTGTAAATACGACTGCTATACAATAAAAACAAAAACAACGGCGTGCCCTCAGGTTTTAAACGCCAGAGACTGTCAATACATTTTTGAACTCTCTCCCGGTAGAGACGTTCTCAGAATCCAAGTACCGAAAATTGCAAATGAAGAGCTCATGCTTCCTCGAGAGACCCTAGTAATATTGGCACCATTAAGAGATTAATATTGTTGCCATCTTAATTCCTAATTATCCAGACTTGACCACAACATACCCAACGTATGTATATCCTGCATGCAATGAGATCCCACATGACACTAACTACTATTTTTCAAGCCCCTTAAACCCCACTTTCTGGTCCGAGTTCGTCGAAATATCTCGTTTCTCCCGTTAGATGACTTAAGACTAGGCCCGTCTACTCCTAAGCGGGGTTAGATAGCCGCTACAATAATAACAACAACAACAAGCTGTTCTTTTATTTTTTTTAATAAAACGCAATTTTTTAAGAAATGCTGTAAAAAAGTAAAAATTGGTAGCTTTATTGATTTCTCCAAATTTTTTCTAGGTTTTCAGTCACGAACATTGTTCAAAAGGGGTTAAAGAGAGTGAGTGGCTGGAAGAAAGTATGTTTATGCGAAAAAAAATGTACAATAAAATATTTTTTTTTTTTTAAGAAATAAACACATTGAATTTGTTAAAACATAAATAAAAGTTTTGACATTTTTGCTCCTAATACACACACACAATATGTGTATTTTCCAAGGAAATATTTTCAAGAATTAAAGTTAAAAGAGAGTTAACCATAAATGAAAATTTTCAATATTTAATTTTGAAAAGCAAAATTAATTGGTATGAATAAATTATAAAAGTTAAATATATATATATGTGGACGGACAACAATGTTTGTATGTATATATACATATACATATGCCGGTATGAACTGAGCCTTGAATTTTTTCATAGAGGGAATTTTACGCCACATTCTCTAATATTTACGCCTTCACCATGGTTACAAAGTATAAAACAGCTTACACAAGTCGGTACATCGGTTTGCCTTAGCTTCGTGACATTTTGGTATCGATATACCAAAATCTTCACACGACGCATTCCAATGTAAAGTCAATTCGGCAATGGTCGTCAACTCCGGCCTTATCAATTGCGTATAAGTTGAAATGCTCCTCCAACGACGTTCATCACAGCCAACCGCAATTCCAATTGAGTATCATTTATGTTACAAATATTTAGTTAAAAAGAATTGCTAACAACTACTAAATTATTTATAATAATATAGAAAATATCACACGGTAGAAAGGTGTCTAATTATAGCACCAAATATCACTTTGCTTTGTACTATAAAAATATGTAGAGTCGGCATTGGTACCAACTAGGAATAACATGATTTTTAAATGCGTTTTTTTTTTGCTTTCTTTGAATAATAACATTTTTTTATGGATTATTTATGTATGTTGGTTATTTTTTGTAGCTATAACCGTTAGTTATGCATAATCCATGTTTTTTTCTTGCTAGCTATAGCATACATAATTTATTTATTTCTATTTAAGTTTTAAAATTAATTCTACAATACATTTTAACGAAATCTTTGTTAGTAATGGAAACTGTATTAGTTTTCAAATTGTATTTTTTTTAGCATTGGTTTTAACATATTCTGCGTTTTTGAAGCGAGATTAGTATATACACTTTTTGTTTGATAATAGCAGTGTCTGAATTAAGTGGGTTTGAATAGATAGTTAAATATTTTAACTACTTCTATAAAGTATATATAATTTATACGCTTTCTTATAATTTTTTTTTAGTATATACATATATGTATATAGTTTTTTCCTTTTTAATCTTTAAGTTTTGTAGATTTTTGCTTGTTTAAACAAAGGAGTACACTGTTGTTTTGTTTGGCATAATTTTTTCTTGAAATGATTTTCAATTAATAATATACTTTAACTCTTTTCTATCATGTTCATATGCTTTGCGTTATTATATTTCTTTTGTTTTTTGTCATCTACTCTTCAATTTGCGTTATTATGTTTCTTTTGTATTTTGTCATTTACACTTCAATAATTTAATTTTTTCGTTTTGCAACTTTTTTACATTTTATTGCGACTGCAACGGTAAATTGCTAACAGATCGTTAGACAAGAATTATTTTTGATTTGATACGAGTCAATAGTTAGTTTGTTTATCGAAGCTGCAATGTTTAGTAATAATTATAAATATTTTAATGTAGGCCACAAGCGTGTGTATGTAGTGGTAGATAGTATGTAAGCACATATATCTAAATACTTGACTTTTATAAACAATTAATTTTTATTTGTATTCTGTTTCTGTTGCTAATTTTGTTTGTTTCTTATTTGTATAAAACATAGTACTCAAAATTATACGTTGCTACAATAAAGAGTTGCAGTCAATCTTTTCTTAATTGGATGTCGCATAAAAGCCAAAATTGTATTGGAAAAAATATATCTATTATTTCTTTTTTTTTAATTATACACTTCAAACGATTAAGCGCGGTTTTACAAATACATATGTATCAATATGAAATAAGAATATTACATGAAACACTTTGGAAATTTTGATGTATATTAAGTGAATTTTTCACAAAAAGATCATACATATATTTTATATGAACAAGTAGTTTTACACGCGTTAATTAAATAAGGAAGTTTTTTTATAAGAAAAAATCTTTTTTTCAGTAATCAATTTCAATTGCGATTTCTTTTCACAAAATTTTCAGCTTGCGCACATAAACTAGATTATTTTTTACAAGTTTTAATTTAATAAGAGAAGAAAAGCCGAAGATTATTTATTGCACCACTAGAATGGTTTACTTTTTCTACTCCTTACATTAACATACTTTATTATTTTGTATTTATATTTATTTTATAATTCAATTTTTTTCTTTCAAATGCTAATTTGCGCTTAATAAAAGTAAATTTTCTTTAACAATTTTTCTTTGTCATTTGTGATATTAATATTTTATTAGCATCTATTTGTTTTTAAACAATAAACACTAGTTAATTATGTATGTATATGTATATACATTGAACAATACAATTTTTACACAAAAATAAAATAAATGAAATATTTTAGTTATTTTTTTTTTGCACTATCAGCCAATTAATTATATGTAAATTAACAAATAATAATAATAATATTTTTTTTTAATTAATTGTTTACAAAAATACAATTTTGATAAATTTTCTTGTAAATCGTCATTTTTTATTTACTCAAAAAGTGTCATGGGTATTTATATACCCGGGTTGAGAATTTTCCGCCGCGGTCTAGAATATCAATATGATAATATTTTTATATATAAATTTTAATATAATGCATTTGATTGGTAATATTTTTAAAGCTTTTTAGCTGTGTATACTTTCTGTTGTTTTTTTTCTTCTCTTTATATCTTACATACTAAATCATAATTAAAAATTTGTTTTAACTTTATGTAAATTCTTATAAAATACTCCAACTGAAAATCAAACTTAAACTTAATCCTACTATTATTTTAAATCCAGACGTAAAATATATGTATATTTGTGTATCTTTTAAATGTCAAGTAAAGGTTGTTTGTTTGGTTCTTTATAGCGGTCTGAAGGGGCGAAATCAAACTGACTTCAACTAATTTTACAATTAACTAAACAGTTTTAAAGATATGTACATATATATATATGTATGAACATATATATTTTATATATATAAGAATAAACGCCGAGCAGCATGTTGATATAGTATGATTTTGATTTGCATGAGAGGGTGTGTTAACAAAATTATAAATGTATTTACATAAACAAAATATGTACGCATGTGATATAAATATAGGAAATAAAGAAATCAATCAATCTTAATTTAAAGCTCATTTGATCAAATAATAGTACAAATTTCGGCTTTTAAGGAAATGAAAAATTCTCTAGATTATTTAAAAAAATTAGTTCTTGTTTTTTTGTTTTGTTTAAACAGACTTATTGCCATCGCATAAATGTTTTTTTGTGGTACTAAAAATATAAGTATAGTTAAAATATTTATTAAAAAAAAAAACATATATTTAAAAAAAAAACCGGAAATATTAAATCCGAAGTGTTAGTAAAATAGTAATTTTTTTATCATATACTCTTGACATTATTTATTTGTATGTGTATATGCTACTATAAATAGCTAGTATTCGGTATTTCACTTTGTATTTAGTATATTTATGGAATATTGTTGCGACGACGGTTGGGTTGTCAAAGAAGAAAAGGTAGTAAATTTATAGACTGTCTGAGGCTATTAATACAATTGGTTGGTGGTACTATAGAGCATATTGAATCTTATAGATGAAGTTGGATTGTTCTGAATTGATAATATTTTTGTTAGTTTGCTATCTTACAATAAATAATGATCGATGGCAACTTGGGTGTCAAAAATAAATATGTTTACTGTTTGTAAATTAATCGAAGCGTTGAGTGGTTGTATGCTCTCTTATAAATGCTACAGCAATCTAAGCGAAAGTTTAAGCACAAACTTTAACAATTAACAAAGCTAATCTTTTTAAATGTGAAGGTGAATCGGTACGAAAAAATAGCGGTATATTATAAGCCTAGCAAGATATTATTATAAGTTATATTTATGATTCGGATATTATGTAATTCTACTACATATGTACTTGTGATTGTGGGAAAATCAGGTTACACATAAGTTGTTTAAAGATATAAGCTGGGCTGGTGTTTTCTACATACATATGTGTTCTGTTTGTGTTAAATTATATGATTACATGATCTTATAATTTTTTAATTTTTTGCTGAGCGAATATTTTTACTTCACTTTCAATACAGGCCGACGACTTCCATACGTGTTATATTTTAACTATTTCACTGACAGCATTAAATATCCTCTCCAAATATATAGTGAATTATAATATACCTTTTTAATTCATAAAATATGTTTGTGGAAATTAGTACTACCATTCGTTTTTGTGTAGTTTAAATCTATGCTACACTTTTATAGAAATCTTTAACAGAAATTATCCGTGCAAAGCTTAATGCTGCTCTTGTTTTCTTTTATCTTTCTTAAATTTTCAAACTTGTATTAATCATGTTTTAATACAATGCGTTGACCTTTGTTACGTTTTCCATCACCGCCATCTCTGTTGTTGCCGCCGCTCTCATACATTTGACGCCTGGTGTCCAAGCGATCAAATATGCCCTTCCTAGAATTACTACTGCCACCGCTGCGCGATGATGAGCCTCCTCCGCCGCCCGCGCGACGATTGCGACTGCTCTCGGATGAGTGCAAATCGCTATCCTTACGACCTCCAGATGTGTTTGATGATGATTTTAATACGACTCGTCGATTACTTGAACTGAATGGTGCCGATGATGATGATGATCTTTGCGAATTTGAATTATTATTACAACTGCGACTACTAGATCGCATATTTGCCTTACTAGGCGGCGGTGCTATTGGTTCGGGTGTAGGCGTACGTGACACAGCATTACGCGGTGGGGATGGTGTTGGTGTGGCCAACAGACGATCCTCCATTTCAAGCATTAGTTCATCTTCATCGTAGTCAAGTTCAACTTCATCATCACTTGGTGAGGACATACGACGTGTTTGCTTCAATATAGCTGCCGGTGGCGGTGTTGGTGTGTGTGTGTCTTTCTTTTGCACCGGTTTTATTATAGCAGTGTTGCTATTGCCACTATTCGCACCGCCACTGCTGATACCAGCGCTGCCACCACTAGCACTGCTACTACTTGTAACATTCGTTATATGATCATTTAGGTTTCGTTTGGCTTCCGGTAGAATTTTTGCAGTTGGAATTAGTTTGCGTTGATTTTGTGTCTGCGAGTGTGACAGTTGTGTACGCTGATGTTGGTCTTGTTGTTGTGGTCTTTGCCGTGGTAGTTCTTCATCAGAATAATGTTGTTGTTGCCGCTTCTTCAATGATATTATCTTGCGCTCTGTGACCACAATCGGTTTAAGCTTCTGCGTTTGGTTCTCAGTAGCATTGCCTGGAGAATTACTACTGTTGTTGCTGCCGTTGTTACTGTTATTATTAGGTTGAGTGGGGCGATGATCCTAAAATAGGTTAGGTTTTTTGGAAAAAAAATTGTAGCAATATTTTTGTTTTCAATTGTAATATGATGATTTGCTAGTAAAATCTGTAATACAGTTTCAGAGAATTTTAACGGAATCTGAGCGACATTCGACGATTTATTACGCCAATCTTTGACATTGAGATGCAATTGTTTTGTTAGAAAAATAGGGAAATTAATAGTAGAGCATTCAAGTAGTTTCACGAGGCTTCTGTTACTTGCAATCTTTACGGCTAAAACTAACTTGCGTGGTTGATTTCAAAATTATGTGTATATGTATCTCATATAGAATAAAAAAAAAAAGAGAAATAGAATGAGAAACTTACCTCATACTGTTTTTCTTCGGCTGCGCGCCGGCGCTTTAATTCTTTGTCCTTCAATATTTTTTCCCGTAATGCTTTCTGTTTCTCAATTTCCAACCTATAAACACGTGTTTCTTCATCCTCTTCAACCTTTAAAAAGCCCAATAATATTCATCATTAAATAATATTACTATCTATACAATTATGGTAAATACATACATCTGGGCGTTCGCGATCGCCACCACGTCGAAAGCCGCCTCCAGCTCGTGGTAGAGGCGATAAACTGCGCCTCCGTTTAATATAACTACCAGCAGCTCTTTTATCATAATCGCGATCTCGACTGTTAGCACGCCGGAAACGATTTCCTCTTGGTCCTAGGTTAGAATTTCCGCTACCCAAAACACCACGTTCTCGGTCGATAGGACCACGTTCTCTTTCCCTTTCACGATCGCGATCTCTTTCACGATCTAAACGATCTCTATCTCGTTCCCGATCGCGATCACGTTCTCGGTCTCGTTCGCGGTCACGCTCGCGTTCTCTGTCGAAATGTAAACTAGCCGGTCCGCCGGCACTTCCACTGCCACTGCCTGCGCCACCTCTTTTATTTGGTGGTGAAAAACTTCGCTCACGTGAAAGTGTTCGTGAACGGCTGCGACTACGGCTGCGTCGCGAGGCGAGCGGTGAGCGTTCATGTCGACGTTTCTCAATGTGTTCTCGATTTTTATTGATGAATTCCTCTTGTTGTCGCAACAATTCATCGTCACTCTGTAGGTGAGAGACATGACTGCTAATTGTGGACATAAACTGAGTTTCTTTTATAAACTTGTTCGTAGCTGCTTGTACGCCTCCTTTGAAGTTAGGATTGATCAGCACTTTACTCGGACGCACTGCAGTCGATGGCAAAGGGCCACCACTACCACTTGTAGGCGCTTGCACTGGTACTACGCCGACATTTTGTGGTGCCTGCAGAGGACCTGGTTGCTGAGGCAATGGCTGTTGTTGTTGTTGTGTTGGTGGCCTGATTCCAGGATTATTCATAAAGTTTGGCGGCGCTAAATTTGACAGAGGTGGTCGTGGTAGGCGCATGTTTGGCCTCATTCCCATGGGTCCCCCAGTTGGTCCCAGACCTACATTGTTGCCTCCTGTCATAGGTCCCCCTCCGAGTTCTGGTCGGAACATAGGTCGTGCTGGATGTGGCATAGGTCCGAAGTTCTGATTAAAAGGTATTCCTGCGCCTGTATTATAATCATGATGATACATATTCGCTGGATTTGGGTGGCGAAAATTCATAGGTCCACTTGGGCGAAAGCCAGGATATGGATGTCGGGGTCGATGGGAGATGGTGGGATTCATGGGATCGTGTGGATGGAGAGGAATCGGTGCATTGGGGTTTGTCTGTGGTGGGCCGATGGTTCCAGGATTAGTTGATGGTGGACCGTGTACTGTGTTGTGTGGTGCGTAAGGTAAGGACGGTTGTTGTAACGGGAATTGACCTGGAATGAGGGTGGAGGTTGTATGGGTTAGTGTTGCTGAACCGACGCTACTTCTTGCTGCCGGAAAACCGTGTGCAGTCAATAAAAAATTACCATGTGATGGCGGATATCGCAGGAGTGGCCTTTGACCATGGTAAGAGCCACGAATCGAATGGGGTCTCAGCAGAGGGTTTCCACCACGCTTATTGTGCACATAACGGGAATGGTGTTTATCTGTAAGTTTTGAAAAGAGATGTACAATTTTTCAATGCATTTTTTTAATAATAATACCCTGCTTAAATAAATTAATACGATATTTTAATTTTGTTTTAGATTTTTTTATCAAACTCATACCTGCCGATTCATTCATTCCTGTATCTAAATCTCGTTCATTTGTTGTCTTTATATTGGTTCTCGTCTCACGCTCCTCTTCCATATCCTCTCTAGGATCGGAGAAGTCACTGGCGCTAAGTGTAGCCAATCCCAAGCTCTCCTGAGAGCTTTGTATAAAAGATGAATCTGTTAGATTGCCAGTACTACAGCTGATAACTGACGAGTGATCTATTTCCGCCTCTTTGCTGCTGCTTGATGTCACTTCGTCGATATTTGTGGCATTTTGTAAAACTGTTTGAGTAGATACTGGGGGTAAGTGCTGTATTAATTCTTTCTGTGTTTGCGATTTTGCGGGTTCTTTGAATTCGACATGTGTGGCTATCGAATGCTCACTGGTAGAGACGTCATCTGTTACATCACCATGTTGCGGGACAATTGCCAACGCATGAGACGCCGCTGTAGAAGTTACCTCTGTTGCATCTGCCAGTGCTGGTTTGGCGGTATCTTTGATTGATTTCGCAGCATGTTTAATGCCAACAGCTCCTGATATTTGTAAACTGGATGTTTTAGTTTGTTTTGAAACATTTTGATGTTCTTCTTTTTCCTGAATACGTTCATTAACCCATTGTTCTGCCTCTGCTTTTATTTTTTGTTTAACTTCTTTTGTAACATCTTTTTCCAACTCTATATATTGGTGAAAATAAATATTAAGTGGTTTAAAAAATTTAGAGATATGCACATACATCTTAACATACACGTATGTACGCACAGAGCTACATATATATGTATAGGCGTAGGTAAATTAATGTCTACTTACCATCGTCAGACAATAGCAATTCATCCTCATCTGCCCCATAAAGTGTTTGATCATCGATATCATCACCTAATTCATAATTCAATAAGTCGTCACTGAAAAAAAAATATTAGGGAATTATTTTTATTTTTCCTTAAGCAAGTTTTCTGCATAGGTAGACATTTCAACAGCTGCCATTAAAATGTGGCGAAAATCAACCCCCAACATGGAATGATTTTTCAATTTATATTTTTTAATATTTATCGCCACCATTTCACTACATTTCAATGTAAGCACACACACGTTACATTAGTGAAGAGATTATACATAAAAATGTTGCAAAATTTTTACAAAAACCTATAAATATTTACAAAAATATTGCACGAAAATTCACTTACTTCAAATTCAAGTCAGACATTTTGATAATTGAACACTTTACCACGCTCACACACACTTGACCAAACGCACCAAGTACACCAAGTATGCGCAATTCAATAATCTCTATCTGCCTTTGACGTTTGCTTTTATTTCACACAGGCAAGAAAGGAATAGCACGTTGTTTTGGGACTGGGGATGTTTTTTAAAAACATAAAACGAAACAGTGCTGCCAGCTTAGAATTATTAAAGTTTTGTTTTAAGGCGTGCCACATCCAGTTTATGCGATAATACTGAACTCGAATTTATGCTAACATTATTGCAAGGATTTTACTAAATACGCCTCAATGATTTCCCAAATTCTTCGAGTTCGATCACTGCACAATTCGTAAAGAATTTATTCAACTTCTATTAATAATTAAACAAATAAAAAATCTTTTTGGGAAATTTTAGTTTTCAGCCGCAGGCTTTCGTAAATGAATTCTGTATGTATGGAAATAGAAAAAAAGCCTAGATTCTAGAACTGCTTTTCTTTTCCCTAGCTGACTCATAGCTCTTTAATAATTTTATTTCAAATTTTTAGTCATAAAAGCAAAATTACGTCCACTTTGGTCCTGCCAGACTACTAAGTAAAATAATACCTTAACCGTAACTAGTGAATTGCAGTATAATTGAATTGTGAATTACTGAGTAAATAAAGGACATTAGATAAATTCTTTATAACGAAAGAAACTGCCAATTAAGTTGGCGATTTTTTATTTAACAATCCAGAAATCGTACCCGAAGGATTCAGAAAATCATCGAGGTTTATTCAGCAAAATCGGAACAGTATGTTGTCTAGGCAGGCGTAGCCACTCAGTAAAAAAATAATAATAAAAAAGAATTAAAATGCAGAAAAATAAAATAGAAATTTTTTTAAAAAATCAAAATGTTATTCACTTAAAAATTCCAAGTAAAGTTAAACTTCTTTGTAAGTTGGTGGCCTTCGGCTGCGTTTTTGATTGTAACCCTGGGCCGAGCCAAAACCGGCTTCGCCTTGCACAGTAGCGCCAATTATTTTCAAAATTTATCGATTTGAAAGCCAACGTAAGTTAAAGTACACTTACACCAAGGCGAATTCACCCAATTTACCCTCAATGTATTTTATTTGTGAAAACGAACAATCGAAATGTCAAAACCTATTTCTCATTTGTTTTCTTGGTCTAATTTTCAACTAATTACATTTTGAAGGATGATGAGTGACCACTGAAAATATATTCTTTAGATTTCCCTTCTAAATGGTTTTCTACGGCCGCTTTTGTCTGAAAATTTTCATCCCCGTTAGTAGTTTTCTAAATTTGAATAAAGGTAAAAGTCACTGGGAGCCGGGTCCGGACTGTAGGGTGGATGGTCTATTCCTGTAAGCCCAGTAGCTTCCCGTCATAACCCGAGCGGTAGACACAACTCTATTGTTCGCGGTATCTATCTGTCACAATTTAATTCTTCGACTTTCTTGACATTTTCTCCGATCACGTCCATCGATGGGCAACCCCGGGCGGGGGTCATCTTCACAGGCCTCTTTTCCTTGTTGAAACAGCCGAGCCCATTTCTCACCATGGTTTATGAAGGAACAGAGTCCTGAAGAAGCGAAAATTTCGTTTGCCCTAAATTGCGAGAATTTACAGTATACTAATAATAAGTACCGCAATTAGTATTATCAATAACGAGATCTCTAACTACCATAGGTCGCGAACTTAACAAGCGCTCCTCATATCTATGCTATGATAAGTAAGTTTTTTCTACCCCTCACTCCCTTGGTGTCCGTCATGTGAAAACGTTCGTATGCCCATCTAGTTGGAAGCATTATAGACACATCATGAGTATTCTTAGGTTTTGATTCACGTTTCATCATTATGTTCAAACTATTTGGTACTCTCAATGAAACCATTCCTTGAAACCATGTCTTTTCTGGCGCTGAGTTTGCTACTCCGATCTCTTAATTGGATGGTCTGCGTGGGACTACAGTGCGTTCAAGAAGTGCAAAGGCAGGGACAAGGACGGAGGCGAGTAGATACTTACGACGAAAAAGAAGAGCCATGTGACCAAAGTTGCCTTTGGTTGCCTTTTATGAATGTTGCCGCCGCCACGATGTCAAATTTGTACTTAGTGATTTGAGCACCAGGGTCGGCAAAGAAGGTATCATCTGCTCAACTCAGGCTGAATTTTCGCCTTCACGACGAAACGCCGCTGGACTTCGCAGGGGCCAATTTACAAGATTCCAGCAAAAGAAAATTCAACAAACTACTTAGGTGTTTCCAGATCGAAAAAATTCCAACCCGACCGATTATGTTATAATAGAGCGACGATATGCCAGCAGTGTGGTTGACATGTGTAAGCTCCGAGGTCCAAATATCGACTCAGACCACTGTCGTGTAGTAGCAAAATATCCACTCTGTGCAGCAAAGTAACCCCGTCAACCTTTGTTGTTGGCAACGGCGAATGCTGCAGAGCGCAGAGAGTGATGTGCGGGGTATATACAATAGGTGTATAGTTAACGCTTTCGCTAACTCAACAATGATCGCATAAGACGAAGTCTATGCCAAATAAGAAGAATAATGTGAGGAGGCGCAACATTTCCAAGTTGAAATGAGGTTAGGTACGAATGCGCAAAAAATTTTACACCATTTTTTTTGCTTTTTATTATATTTTTATCGTTTATTTATATACGTTTCTGTTTAATGTTGTTTGCTGTTATTATCAACCAGGGGTAATTTACTTAAATTTATTTACAATTAAAACTTCAATTACAACGAATTGAAACAATTGCAAACCCATACCTGCATACATACAAAGGCAATTCATTATTCGGTATGTAAGCAGTATGTTAAATTAATAAATTTTTAGATGCATTTAAAATACATTAGTTCATATGATTTTGATATACATATGTACATACATATATGCACATATATATTATATGCACAATTGGAAATTAATTATAATTTTACTATTAATACAAACAGTTGCAGTAGTATGTATGTATATATATTATAAAAAAAATAAACAAATTACAAATTTATAATTTAACGAGAAAATAAATTTTTTTGCTTTTGTATAAAAATTTAAATTGATACGCATATTTCGTCAAAAGTATAAAAAAAGTTTCTTAAAATTATATTGAATTTTAAATTCCTTTTTTTTTATATAATTGTATGTTTCATTGCTTTGTATGTACTTTCATTTGGTTTGTGTATAAGATTTCCTCATTTTTAAAAATCAACTTTAACATAAAAAATACATATACATATATAATATATGTATATACACATAGATACATATCTATGTATATACTATATATTGACAAGTAAATAAGAAAAAATAAAATGAACTTAACTCTTGACAACGGTTTTGTGCATAAAATTCACATTGCCTTAAACACATATTACATACATACATACATATGTATGATATTATATGGATATTCGATAGTAGGCCAGCTTAAATTGTTACAGTTTGTATATGTGTACTCATATTATAAACTCCGACAGCAATTGGCTGTGCATTTTATGTTGTATTTTATATTTTATTGATTTAGTTTTTCATATTTAAGGGTTTTTTGACTAAATGTATGTTTTTATGTAGATATTATTTGTGTACGAATACATACATATACGAATTATCGGTAGATATACGTACATAGTAGTTGGGCTGCTGAAAATAAAATCAGAGCTGTTTTCATAATTCCTGTCATATTTATGTATGTATATATTTTTTATTTTTATTTATTTTTTTGAAGTTACAAGAAAATAGTTATAATGCCTTTAGATAAAAGATCCCTGGCATAAAAGCACCAATTATCTCGCTCGATTACATACAAACATATGTATGCGGTTATTTTTTGTAATTAAATTTTAATTTAATAGATGAAAGTGTATAAAGCATACATATTTTTTTTTTATGTGGAATATTTTTCATTAAGAACATTTTTTTTGCTGTGATTTTGTGTTTAAAAAAATTTAGTTTGTTAGAGTTTTTAAGAAAATAGTGCTTACTTGCTTCTTGTGTACATGTGCATATGTATGTATGATAAATTTAGCTTGAAACTTTAACCTTTTACTAATATTAAGCCGAAAATATTTAAAAAAAAAGGTGTTTTTAAAAGGCTTGACTCTATTTTATTGCTGTGAAATCTACGTACATAAAATTTTCAGCCAAGAAATTTCAATAAATAAAAGTAATTCATAAAATAAAAAAATTTGTATTCTCTTATTATAGTAAAATTCTTTGCAGCAATTTTAATTATTTCATGTTTCACTAACGAAATTCCTCTTCGCTATTGATTTATATACATACATACATATTTTGGTATATATTTTTCGGTAAGTCAAGAGTAATATGCTTTTTTGTAAAGTTTTTTACACAAATTCATCTCATGTACTTAGTTTTTATCGCGTGTTTTTGTGTGTTTTATAAAAATATATGTTTTTTATGCACTTATGTACCATTCTTCAACAAATTTTTATTTTTATTTTTATTTGCTATCTGTTATTCATGGTATTATTTATTAATTACTCTTCACCGAGTCTGTTTGGTTGTAAAAACTTCTAGAAAACTAGTTATTTTTTATTACTTTATTTAAAATCTAATACTCATACGTGTATGTTTCTTCTCTACTGGCTTTAAAATTACTGTATTAAGAGCGTAAATTGTTTTTCAGTTTAATTACTATAATTTTAAAAAGTTGGTTTTGTAAAATTTTGAGGTTACTATGATCCGGATTGTTTTGTTTGCCTTTAGACATTATTCGATTTTCTTATGTTTGCTTCTTTACAATTATTTATGTAAATAATATGATTTTTTGGTGTTTTATTTGATTTAGAATTTGATGAAGAATGAATAATGTTCGATTGTAGTTTAAAATGTTTTGGTTTTGCTCAAAAGACAAGTTATTTTACTTAATTTTAATTTATTGTATTTTATCCTGATTTACTTTGTGTAATTTTTTCAATCTTTTAAATTTAATTTAATTTGTTTTATTTATAATTTAATTTAATATTTTTATTATTATTATATTTATTTTAATTTATTCCATTTTAATTTATATTATTTTATTTTAATTTAATAAATTTAGTTTTACATTAATTCTTTTTATTTCAATTAATATCCCTTATATTTTTAATTTCATTTCACATTATTTCATTTAACTTTCTTTTTTATTTTATTTTATTTTATTTTTTTCTCTTTTTATATATTTTTAATTATATTTTTTTATCTCATATAATTAATTTTGTATTACTTTTCACAGTTTATTTTTTTATTTAATATTATTTAATTGTACATTACTTTTATTTATTTTACATAATATTTCTTTATAATTCTAACTATATTTATTTTATTTACTTAATTTTATTTTACTTTATATTATAAATTATATTAATATAATTTTTTCTTATTTTTAAACTTTGTTTTAATTATTTCATATATTTTATTTATTTCGCATAAATATATTTTTTATTATATTTATTTTTTTTCCAGTTTAGTTTTTTATTGTATATTATTGTATTTGTTTTTATTTTTTATTATTGTGTATTATAATATCCTTTTTTTATTTTATTTAAATTTTCTATTTTATTTACTTTATTTTGTTCAATTTTAATTTTTTTAGATTTATTTATTTCATATTATTTTCATTCATTAATTTTATATAATTTTTTAATTTAAAGTTACCTTTCTTAGATTATTTTATTTTTTATTTCATTTAATTAATTTTATTTTCTTTTAATTATTATTACTATTTAATTATTATTTTAGTTAACTTTCATTTTTATTTAATTTTTTGAGTATTTTTCAGTTTTTTTTAAAACTATTTAATTGAATTTAAATTATTTATTTTATTTACTTAATTTCATTTTACATAATATTATTTCATTTATTGAAATTTAATTTATGTTATTTATTTTACAATATTTTACTTTGTTTTGTATGAAATAATACATAAATAGTTCTCTCTTTCTTTAACTTTAATATTTCCTTTCATTTTTTATTTAATTTAGCTTATATAATTAATTTTAAACAATTTTCTTTTCTTTTTAACTTTAATTTATTTATTTCTTTATATCTGATGTGATTAATAATTTAATTTCACATTGTTTATTATAATTATTTTAAATTAAATTTCAATTATTTAGTTTATTTACTTAAATTTGTTGTATTTAATTTTTTTTTTTTATTTAATTCTTTTAAGTTACATCAATTTTATTTTTATTTTATTTAATTTATATTATTTATTTTTTTTTTTTCATGAAATTTATTTTATTATATTTCAGTATTATTTTATCTTATATTTTTTCCATTTTATTTTTTATTTTATTTTATTTTTCAATTTGATACATTTAACTAATTTATTTTTATTTTTAGTTAATTTTTACTTTGTTTAGTTTAAATTGCTTTAATTTAATTTATTTGCTTTTAACAGCGCATAGTATATACCTAAGTTTATTTAGCATATTTTATTGTTTATGAGTATTTTTGGTTTAAAGTTGTCGGATATATGTATTGCATCTGAATTCCTCACCTTCTTAATTATAAATATTATTTACTATTTTCTTTGATTGCCATTAATATACATATTCAAGTGGAGCAAGACTTGGAAAAATTGCATCTGTTTAATGGTAGACTTCAACGGAATCAACTAGAGTGGACAGACACGGGCTTGTATGTATATATTACATACGAGTACTATAAAAAAAATGTTAGTACATACATACATTTGTATTGTGACTGAAAAGGCAGAGTTACATATATACATAGATTTCGAAGAACATTATGCTTATATGTAAAACACTTTTGGTATATTTATTTGTTATTATTATTATTATTTTTTTTGTTTGTGACATTTTTGCTTAATTATAATTTATATTTTTTATTCATTTTGTTGTTTTTTTATGATACGTATGTTGAACTCAATAAAAAATAAAAAAGTTAAAAAAATATAAAAAATTCTTTTTAATAAAAAAATTATATATTTAAAGTTTATTTTGTATATTTATAAAAATATGTTTGTCTCATTTTAATAATATGAGTAGGGAAGCTTGGCCCACAGTAAACATACATACATATTGTACAAACATTCAGTACACACAGATTACTACTACCAGTAATGCTTTGAAATATTTATATATTTCTTTATAAATACAACAACAATATGAAATCATTAATAAAATCTTACAAAGCAAAAATGAAATTAAACTGTTTCAAGAGTTTTTCTTCAAAGTAAAATTCAAAGTTCGTAAAAATTGTAACGGAAATCTGTTCACATTGTCATGGTGTTGACTGTATTGTATTGCTATTTTGTTTCGTTACATAAATTATTCACATATAAAAATTAGTATTCGTATAAAAGGTATAATTAAATTTCTTTTTTTTTTTGGATAACATAACCTCAAAAAATCAACAATATATTTTTTCTTACTGCGTTCTTAAAAACTAACTAACTACATACATACATACAAACATGTGTACAAAGTTCTTGCTTGAATGGATATACCAAGCGTTTTCTCTGCGAGTGTGTATATGTATGTATGGACTTTCCATTTTAGTTCTTTGTCTAACTACACAACTTCCTCAGCTTTCATCCCGTTCCTCCCTTCCTCTTCTACATTTGTCTTTTCTTTTGTTGCTGCAACATTATTGCCTTTTGCTGTAGGCGCACCCTACTAACGGGCACTTGCATCAATCTGTGTTAGTAAAGCTCGGTATGTTGCCGGGTTGGTGCTGGAATTTTGGATAGCCCACGATCGCGGCGCGGCGACACAATCACCGAGGCCACTTCACGTGACTGTGTGCTCTCCGTCGATGAAGCAGCCGAGCTGCGTTTCGAGAGAGTTTTAGTGGGTGGCGAGCAACTATTGGAACGCTCCAGATTACCATTGTTATGCACCCAGGCCGAGGTGAAGTCCTCATAGACGGGTTTCTTATTGTTAATATTGCCAGTGCCAGTTGAGGTTCTGCCATTTTGACCACCACCGCTGCCGCTGTTGTTGGTGGAATAGCGTGAGAGTAATACTTTCATTTTTTCTAAAATTTGCGCATCATTTTTAGCGCTGCTGGCCGCCTCCAACAGTTGTTGCGCCAACGGTGAAGTTGTGTAATTCTTTACGGGCGATGTGGTGAGTGAGGCAGTGCAACCGCGTACGCGTCTGCCATTACTATCGTACAGAATTTGTGAGGAGCGTGTACGTGTATTGCGTTCGAAGGCCAAATTACCGGTTGGTGTAGCGCCACTATGCGCTGCGTTAAATGTGTCTGCATTGAGGGTCGGGCGCTTTTTCCCTCCAGCCGCGCGTCCACTCCAAGTGTTAGTCACCTCACGCACCGGCGGTGTTGCTGATTTTCGCGCGGTAGCGCTGTCGCTATGTCGATTCATTTCGGCAACGGGACGACGCACCGATCGATAAACGGGCTGTTTGCGGTTGAATACTGGCAAGCCGGTGCGTGTGGAAAGGTCTTGCATGCTGGCGCTACTACAGTTGCTATTGTCGAGACTACGTCGGCGTTGAGCTAAGGGTGAGCGCGGTATTTTGCTACTTTTCTCTGCATTCTCCTTGGTAGCTTTCAGAGGTGTAGCAACGGTGCTGCCATCAGTTACATCTTCACCACCAAAAATTTTATTGGCGAAACCTGTTTTGCGCAAACCTGTGGCACTTGCCACGTCTACGGTAATTTCATCATCGGTTATAAAAATGCCAGAACGTTCGAAATTGTCCGACAGATTATTGTCCTCAGAATTCTGTGGTGGCGTTGTGAGTACAGCGGGCAGAGATTGTGGACCCGCATCCAAGTGCAGCTCAATGGGAGTGCTGTTAAAATCTGTGGCCAAAAGATCGGCGGCTTTATTTGATATGGTCAAGTCCTCGACAGGTGAGAGCTGTGAATCACTAGAAGTCTGATCTAGACGCGCTGTATGAAAGGGCGAAAGCAAAATTTTTATACAATTAGTTTTAAAGACCTTCCAATAGCTCACATAACACATTTTTGATTAGTTTTTCTAAAACCTCTTACCATTACTATCTGCGTCCTCTACCGATGCTTGGCTATGCAGTGACTCGCGTTTCTGCGCATTCGATTGTATTACACCCAAACTGCGGTAACCCTCATCGCTGATCTCACTACCGTTATCGCTGATATTCTCGAATTTATTGCTTGTGCCATTTGCATTGCCTTCCGCATGCCCGTTGCCAGTTTGTGTGGCGGTGCCGTTCTCAGCTTGTCCGGCTACATTATAGGATACGCCGTCGAAGTGTATGTGATTATTAGTGTTAACGCCTTCAGTGCATATTGGCAAGGATTTCGGTCCACTGCCGTTACTCGAGTCTAATGAGCTCTGTTTCTTACGTATATCAATCAAACGACGTGGACTCGGGGACATTGAACGACGGGCCGCCAAGTTTGGTGAGGTCAGCAAAGTTCCGCAGCCAGTTGTGCCATTTGTGGTGTGTGATTTTTCGCCATTTGGGCTATCTGTTGTATTTAAGGCGTGATTGTGGTGATTGTTCATAAATTTGCGTTGTGGTGTTGGACTGCGGCTACTCTGTTTGTTGTTATTGCCGTAATTTGGGGACAAATTGTATGAATTGTTGTTGGTGATGGGCGGTGATTGGAGTGATGTATTGGCGGCAGCAGCGGCGGCGGCCTGACTATTGAAGTTAGAAATGAGTTTGCGTGTTGAGGGGGGTGAGCTGGAAAATTGAAAGAAAATGCATAAGAATTTACGGTTGAAAACATTTGAAAATAAACTGTAGAAAGTGTAGCTAAAATAAGCTCAAAATATGAGACATCTTTTAACATTTAACTAATAGATAATATTTCTGAGATCTTAAACGACTGCCTCTCGACGTGTATTTCGCTCTTCGTAAAAGTTCAACAGTCGCTTCTTGCACATGCGAACTGCAGAGAGACCGTTATGCACTTGATATTTTTCACGACTTGTTGGTATCTCTCTTCACATGTTTCCACCAGCGGCTGCTGCACCAAGAGCTCACACTCCCTGGAGTTATTGCGTCTATCCGTATAATAACTTCTGAATGCGTTAGATAATAATGGATATTTTGAAAGGCCTACAGGTAAGAAAAATGATAAGGGAAGCTAATTTTCTAAGTTCAATGTTCGATGCGGTACCACTTTCATGGAACACGTTTATTAAAGGTACTGAAAACTTTCTGGGTAATCGCAAGTCATGTAACTACTCTGAAATTGCTAACAAAATACAGGGCAATTTTAAAAACCTCAGTTGTATCTATCAGCACACCGATGAGTTTCCATAGCAGCTAGGCTACTAAAGCGAAGAACAAGACTAACGATATCACCAGGATCGAAAAACTCAGTAAAAGTAGTATCAAAGCTGGTGGCATCAGCATAGATGGATGACTACAGTTGCGGATTAAACTTGGTTGTCCATATAATAATGACTTGATGCGGGCTACCACCGATATCGACTTTCCCAAGAAAATTTCGTTCAACGATGAAGCTTATTTTTAGTTGAATTGGTAGGTTAGTAAAAAGCAAATTGTCAATTTAATTTAAATTTGTATTTAAATTAATTTTCCATAACTTTTGGATGTTGGTGACACTAGGATATGAAGCCGAGCCTTCCAAATGTCAGTATGCAATGACACTCGGCTAACGCGGCCGACGTCCTATATCCTCAAAAAGTTACTGCTTGGTGTGCTATATGGGTAGATGGGATCATTGATACCTTTTTCTTCAAAAATGAAGCCAGTCATATGCTACAGTCAATGATGCACGCTATAGAGCTGTAACCAATGACTTTTTCACGCGTGAATTGGAGTACGTTAATGTGTACGATCTTTGAATCCTAAAAGACGCCGTTAAATGCTATAAAGTCAACGAAACAATCATTCTATTGAAGAAAACTTTTGGTGAATGCTTCATTTAGCGTCGTCGGTCTCCAAGATCGTGCGACTTAACATCTCTGGACTATTGTTTGTGGGATTATGTAAAGTTGCTTGCCTATGCAGATACACTCGTGACGCTTATCGCCTCGAAAATAGTATTCGGCGCGTTATTGTTGAATTATGACCTCCATTGTTGCAAAAAATGGCCGATCTGCGGCAGGCACTTGCACGAATTCATTTATAAAACATAATAGCGAACTCTTAACTTTATAAACAAAACAAAATTCTTGGTCATAACATTAAATTATTTGTGTTTTATTTCTACTTGAAACATCTCTGAAGAAATTCCCTTTACTTGTTTCTGTTTAATTAAATTTCTTAAAAACCAGATGTAGGCATTTTTTTGTGTTTGTATTTAGTATAGGATCGTGAGAGTTTCATTTTCACTCTACAACTTCCCGGTATCAAATCCACTGTTTAGCAGTGTTAGTTTTGAAACAAATTTTGATTGCCTAGATCCAAAACTTTGTATGCTAACGTTATTAGAACATTCAATCATACACATTTCACAACAACACAACTTGTATTATTAGAAGTGTTTGTTTTTGCTATTTGGTATTTCTTAGCCACATTAATGACTGCTAAAATAATGACATAAGAGTAAGCGTAGTACAATAATTAATCCATTGATTTATTGGCATGCATGCAGTCGAGTCGATTTTATTGCATTAATTTGCAAATATTTGTAATATTATTTTTATTATATTAATATTTACATACATAAATCAGCACATATTTAGTCAGTATTAAGCTGAACTGATCGGCTTCCAGTCTTTTGATGTTGACCGTCAATGTATGCATACACAGTGTGTCCCAAAAATAACCGATCTTTTTGGATATAAAATAAAATACATATTATATTATCTTTGAGAGTTATTATTTATTCAAAATAGGTTCCATTTGACTCAACCAGCGCATGCATAGGCTTTTTTATGTCATTTATAGAAATGTTCTTCAGTACCTCGGTTACGGCTGCTTGAATGGCTGGGATATCATCATAAAATGCTCCCTTCATTTTAGTTTTCAGTTTTGGAAATACAAAATAGTCACATAGTGATAGATTAGGCGAATACGGAGGATGGTCGATGAGGGAAATCCTTTTTTCATTAAAAATTCGAGCGATTTTTTGGTCGTCATTTAATTCATGTGGAACAAATCGCGCACACCCCTTTCTTTTCCCCAAATCTTCAGTTAAAATTCTCCAAATAGTGTTTTTACTCGTATTCAATTTCTCAGCCTACATTCTCGTAGTAAAATTTGCATCGATACCAATGATTTCACGGACTTTTTCCACCAGTTCAGCACGATTACTAGTTTCTGGACGTCCTGCTCTAGGGTCGTCATTTAAATGATTTCACGGACTTTTTCCACCAGTTCAGCACGATTACTAGTTTCTGGACGTCCTGCTCTACGGTCGTTCTTAAAATCCTCACGACCATTTTTAAATCGTGTAAACTACGTATAAACTTGCGTACGACTCATACAATCATCACAATGAACTTTTTTCAAGTTTTTTTTTTCAAGTTTGACACAAAATTTTATATTTGCTCTTTGTTCCATTTTATTTTTGAACCATTAGCACACTTTTGGTTTTATTGAAATGGCTGTCACTTTTACATCTGTCATCCGACTTATTGTACATGATGTTAGGTGCGTTTGCAAGGGGATGAATGTATCTTTTTAAATGTTGCAAATTTTCAATAGATGGCGCTGTATGTTGTATGATTTAAATGTAAAGTTCGGTTGTTTTTAGGACACACCGTGTACATAAATCATATATATATATATATATAATATTTACATATACATCGGCCACAGCGCACCTGGGGTAAGCAGTAAAAGCTACAGTCCAAAGGTCTTGGATCGCAACACATAAAATAATAACATCACATAAAAATCCTTCAGCCGTTCGGAAAAGGCGGACTTTATACGCAGCAAGGACAATAAGACGTAGGAAGAATTGTACTCCACCAGTTGTACACTGAAATCTAGTACTGGCTTAATATTGAAATAAATGAGGAGTGACATACATAAATAGTTTCGTTAAAATTCACATTGTTAGCTTTTATTATTATTAAAATGTGGCGCATAAACTACTCAGCGCGCTCTTAAGAGTTATAATCAATTTGACACATTCCAGCCCAATCGAGTAGATGTCAATGTAAATTATGATTACACATGGAATTTATTTGTTTTTAACAACAATAAAAAAAATTATTAGTTATAGGTACGTACATGCGTATGTATGTATGTGTATATATGTATATTCAATGAATATTGTTAATTCTATGGCGACACATTAGCTCAGTCAGCTCAGTTCAACTTGTCGTTACAATATTGCCGATCCGAATACATAAATATATTTTTAAACATATGTATGTATGTACAGACAATATGTATTAATATTTATTGGCTAAATACTGGCGTTCAGAGAAATAGGTTTATTATTTGCCAACAAGTAACACATTTTTTTTAATAAGCACAGAATCTGAAGTATTCATTTATAAGAAACTACATTCAAAATTGAGGGGTGTGTAATTTCAAAAAAAAAAAAATAGATCTTTTTTTCATATTTCGGTAGATTACACCTTTAAAAATAACATATTAAAATTTCAAATCGATATCTCAAATTGAGTTATAGCAATTTAAAGAGCAGCCGATCAGCAGCTAGAGAGCTACGAGTGAAAACGATCATTTTATTTTTAAACGCGTTTTTCTCGAAATAGCATTTTCCGAATTTGCTGCAGTGATTACTCAAAAACAAATGATCCATCATTATCGAATTTTTTTCATGTTCTATATATAGTTCTCCGTACAATGACATACCGATTTTTGATCTGATCAAAAAAACGAATTTTGGCAGGCCAAAAAACGACCAAAATTTTGGGTAAAATTCGACTATTTTTTTTTGTGAACGCCGTCATATTGTCAATTTTTAATTTTTTTAACGTAGGTTATTGTACAGACAATATTATCTAGTAGAGAATTTTTTTTAGATTTCATCCACGGAGAAGGCCGGAATCAGTGAAGGATCTTTTTTTCGCGTCGTCGGAGATCGACTATAATTAAAAAATATTTAATTTTTTTCTTCAAAAATTTCACTGTATTTTCTTGAAACATGTATAAATATATTCTTAACATTTTGAAGTAATTGATAAAGTATTTTTTTTTTTAATAAAAATTCCCAAAAATCACCTAGTAGGAGTAAAAAGGAGTAAAAAAGTTGTTCTGACTAACTGACTTACCTAAATTGGAGCGTTCGGCGTAGCGTTTTCTAACACCAATGAGTGGCAACGCACGCTATCCCAAAATAATATCGCTAAGAATATTAAATAAATTAATTGTATTTATATCAAACAAGATACTACCAACTTATTCGGAGTACAAAAGTATGTCTCCACCAGTTGAATTAATTTTTCAGTGAATATTTATCATTTTTTTTTTTTTTTGCAAAATACTACATATTTGCCCATTCCTCTTCGTCAGTTTTTTTTCTTTCCTTTGCGCTTTTATCCTTTCCATCTAACTTAATCATATAACACATTGTCAAAATTGAAAATTCTACTTGCTCAACGCTGACGCCGCTTTATTGTGTCATGTCCCATACAAATTGTATGGCCATGAGGATTTTAGACAGATGACAAATTTGACAAATTTGCCACACTTCTTTCAAGCATATTTTTGTAGTCCCTGAACGAAGGATTTACTTTATCTTTGATTTCAACTCATTTTACAAGCCAATATGTGGCCTAATTTTATGCAAAAAATTATGTTTTTAGTAAAAATAGCTACAAAATATTCAATTTTTAATCTTTTTAATTTTGCTTTGTTCAGGGACAAGGAAAATTCACCTACTTTAAGAAAAAAATTGGATTTTTGATTTTAGATAAAAATTGAGAAAGTTATCATGACTAACGCGAAAGCACTTTCTTGTGGACGGTCAACTTCACGACACCACGCCTAAGGCTGACTTATATTATGTTTCATTCAAATTTCCATTAAATATTGTCCACGTTTTGTACTTTTATATGTAAACAAAATAAATTGTATACTTTATTTAGTATCTCTTAAAACAAATAGAGAAAGTATGTTTTTTTTGGCCTTCAAGATCTATGTAAGCCCTTAATAGGCTTTTCCATGCCATCGGGAATTACATTGCTCGTCGTCTTAATTACAAGCGCGTATTTCCCCATTCTGTTTTGCTGGTTTACATTTTTAATGATAGGAGATATATAAGCTTGTCCTCGTTCACTACCAGACTCATTCGCCTCGCTTCGCTCATTTAGTCTGGGGGAAACAGAACTAATAGACTGGACGATGCTGTCAATATCAGCAGTGTATGTCAGAAATTGAATGCTCCCAGAAATTTGTTTAGCTCTGCAGCTGGCATTGTTTGCTCTAGCATGAAGAAGTCAATCGATGAAACGTCGTTTGGTATCGAACGGCTTGGACAGGTACTTCCCACGCCTGACGGAGCGTTTGATGTTCTTTGCACAATTGTATAAGTTTTGCGTTGGTATCAATTACAGGTATTTGTTGCTGACGGGCTTTAGCATTTCACCCCTATCGCCCATAAGACCTTATAGGCGATATCGAGGAGGTTTATTCGACGATTGTAGAGTTACCCTATTTGTGGATTGCTCAGAGCACATTGTGCTTCGAATCCTTGGGCATGCAAAGAAGCTGCTGCATGTCCTTTGTCATTCTTCGCCGTCATATATGAACTATGGTCTTCCTCTATATTTTCAGTATAAACCGGTCACCAGTCGCTAGATAACATTTTTGGGCAGTCGCCCCTTTTGCTCATATCATTTTCGTGCAGTACTGCTGTCTTCTAGCTGCTCAAGCACTTCAAGCAGCAACTACAATAGTTAACCTCGTCCAAAGTGCCCGAAAGCACCACAGTAATATGTTGGAATTGTTTATGCTCTCGGCATTTTGATATGAACGAGGGTTATAGTTTTAACACTCAATATTATAAACTGTTATTGGAACGTTTGAAGACCAAAATTGCAGTCGAAGTAGTAGCAGACTCCAGAAATGTGCGCGCTGGTGGGAAACTTCGTTCGACTGAAGAGGTCAGTAATCGCTTAAAATTAACTCTACTTCAAGGTATGAGATAAATAATTCTGCAAAAGCGTTATGGAGGTACTTAAAATAGTTTCTACTCAGCCTCCTACGAATAGCTGATGGATTTTTATGAGAAGCCTTTATTTCATGTCAAAAATACAGTCGAAGGGCTTGAAATTACCTGCTGAGGGGCGACTACAACTAGAAAAATTAACTTAATTTTCTATTGAAATTGATTTCACTTGATTTTTGGAACGATTTTGGTCGGATCAGGACTTCAAACCTGGCTTTAACTATTGACACTCACCTATTGCGGTTTACAGTTTCAATTAATTAACACATTTACTGGATGACTAACTGCAAAATAATAGCTTCAAAAATTTTGTGTGCCAAAATTTTTCTGGTTGTTTCAAGTTTTCTGTTCGCTAGTGTAATATGCATTAGTACATAACTTCAACCGTAATGCAGAGAAAATATCCGCAGTGCATTTGCATTAATTAATAAAAATGGTATTTTAATGTTAGATATTTGAACGTATGCATATGTGCATGTGTGTATGCATAAGTACAAATAAGCCACCAATTAAAATAAATTACAAATAATCACAGAAATCAAAGTGTTTTGAATACAACAATCGGTCCGTAGGGCGGGCTCCACACACTTCAATGCTCTAAGTCAATTGCTTTCAAGAAAACTGAGTCATTTTCTTGCAGTTAATTAGAAGCTCATACGTTATACTTTGTTATAAAATAAATAATTCTTGATTTAAGTTTACTTTACTCACCGTTCGTAGATAACTTGAGCCTTATGCAACTCAATGCCGCCGTTTGTTTGATTTGTAGTGCGTGGAACAAGGCGCGCGGCTACAGATGAACGATGTTGCGCTTTACAACGGCAAGGGTCATGTTTGTCCAAATAGTGGGATAGAGTGTCCCAACCGCCGCCGACGCGTACCATAACATGAGAGCGTAGAATCTAAGAAAAGGGAAAGTAAAGTAAGAAAAAGTCTTTAATGATTGAAATTATAAAAAGAAAGAATCTACACCAGTAGACAAGCTAAACTGCAGCATAAGTCTAACTCGATAGATAGACTAAACACCTATTAAAGGTGTAATCGTAAAACACAAGGAGAAGTTAAAGTCATCAAATGCAGCTTTCAAAATTGAGGTAAATATGAGGATAAGGTCTCAAGGGGGTTGTATGGAGGGGTCTACAGTTTATACTAAGCCGCCTCCGAACGGCTGATGTTTTTTATGAGAAGTCTTTATTTCATGTCGGAAATACACTCGGTGGTGTTGATGTTCCCTGCTATTAGAAAATTTAATTTAATTTTTTATTTAAATTAATTTTCTATAACTTTTCGGATGTTGCTCGCACCGGAATTTGAATTCGAGCCTTCCGAATGGCAACTCATGCTCGCCGAAAACCATGATGTACAAGTGGTACAGTTTGTTTAAACAAGGAAGGGAGTCCCTGGAAGAAAGATTGAGATAACATCGTCAGAACCAATTCAAAAAGATGAAAAAGTTGTCCTCGACCATGCTCGACTAAAGAAAAAACCAAAGGCAGAAATGTTTGAAGTATCCGTTCCAATCGTTTTAACATCCTGCGCGTCTTCGGTATGTCTAAGGTGGGTGCCGAGAATATTCACGAGCCGCATTGCATTGGTTGCCTCCATAAGGTGGGTTTCAATGTTATGAATCACACTCGCTACAGCCCATACCTAACTCCGAGCGATTATTACCTGTTTCCCAGTGAAGAAAAAAGAGCTGAGGGGTACAAAATGTATCACTGTTGATGAAGTCAAGGAGTGAATATGTTTTACGAGTGAATATATTGAAGGGAAAAGAAATTTAGATTTTTACTTATCCACCGTGTCGCGAGCACTGAAACGGCTTCTTGTATTGTTGCGAAAATTCGAAAGGAGAGACCGATAACTGCAGCATGTCCTATTGCAAGTGTTTCGAATGTTCGCTCTCGAGAACATTTCAAACAGAATTTGGATATACCAGCGAAAAATTGTTAGGTATACAAGAGCGACAGTCAGCACCACAGGATGCTCAATTGAGTATAGAACTCGGTAGTGAGAACCTTGAAGTTGAACAACAAATTTTGGTAACTTTATTTAAGAATCCAATGATCGAACCCGTTGGATTTGGGAAATCTTTGAGGTTAATTTAGTAAAATCTCTACAATATATATATTTATTTAAAATCATTTACTCACCCGCACAAATATTAACACTTTCGTATCACCGATTCGGTATTTGCCCTCTGAGACGCGTACCATCGGGAATTGTGAAGGACATGTACATTTCTCAACCAAATCTCTGACCTGTAACGAAGAAAGGGAGGAAAAAGTGAAAAAATTAAATAATAAAGTGCAATAAAAAGCGAAAGTTAAAGGCTGTATAGATAGATTACATGATTTTATATTAATTTGCGTGTGGCAAGACAACCATTAAGCGGCAATTCAATGCGATCGCACGCTGCTAAATTTACTACCATTTAACTATGAATTATAAAGTGCAATAAGCAAACCAAAAGCGAAGTCATCCTGTTAGGATAAATGAATTTCATTTTCCACTCTTCTTATTTTTCTTCAACGCATCAAACACGTAACATCATTAATTTTGTGCAAATTACATTTTGCGGCATCTTTAAATCCATTATAAGATCTATTCATGCCATCTGAGCCGCCGACGAAGATGCCACCGCACAGTGTCGCATGTACAAGTGAAAATAACACAAATTTAAAAATATCTTACAAATCAATATTTGAAATTTGAAGAAAAATATTCAATGCTAAGAGAGTTGGAAAATAAGTTGGAAAAAGTCTTCTCAATATCGTATACAATAGAAGGTTTCATCAAGAGTATTGTGTAAAGAGCCAAAGCTCATCGTCCACAAACTGATCTTAAAATCGTAGCCTAAGACCTGGTAAATCCACCATTGACGAGATATTCAACTTGCGCCAAATCCTGCACATTATGAAAAGTATCGAACATCACCGCTCTTTGCCGATTTTAAAGCGATCTTCGATAACGCGACAATGCCTAGAAGTTATATAACCGCTAAACTGGCGGTGTGAGCTGACACAACTGGAAAGAATCTCTTCGTGCCATTCGATACAGAACGAGTTTTTAGATAAAGTGACTTTTTACTGTGGGACTACTTCATCGTAATGCTGGAGAAAATAATGCGAACTACAATACATAGCCATATAGGCAAAGCATAATTTTTTAAAAAAGCGTACAGACTCGCATACGAGAGAAGGAGCGTGCTGAATGGGTCTGGTGGTGAACGAGAGCAAGGCGAAGTATCTCAAGTCATCAACCAAACAGTAATCGGATCTGCAACCCAGCTTCTTCGTCATGGCATTGTATCGGCCTCGAAATCCAACGCAGAGAGCCATAGCCAGGCGGCTCAAAACTTGTTGATTCACCGGTATTCTAAATTTATATGAGGACGCTGTTACCACACCATTACAGCAACTTTCAAGCAGAACTTATTGCAATCATGTATCAAACCACCAAACGGCTGCTCAAATCTATTGGAAGTACAAATTGATTTGACGTGCTCTAAAAAAGATAGTTCTACCTGCATGTTGTGGTGGCAGCACTAATAATAAACTATTTTCAGCTCTAAAATTTATTAAGTCTATTCAGTCTTATACCAATATATAGTCTTATAGTGTTTACCTATGAAGTTTCTCAATTTTCAAACAGTTGGCAACATTCGATTCGTTTCACCGACTACAAATTTCAGGTGTACAACTTTGCTTCCGCCGTTTTTTACAGATATATTATTCAAAGTATTTTCCTTCGCTAGCGACAACTTTCTCCCATCTTTTCGGCAATTTTAGGATCTCGGCTCGAAAAAAGGAGCCCTCTTTTGACACTATCCATGAAGCAATCCATTTTTCCAATTCTTCGAAGGATTGAAAATGTTGATCTGCCAGGCCGTGTGCCATCGAACGGAATCGGTGGAAGTCAGAAGGAGCGAAATCTGGGGAATACGGCGGGTGGGGCAAGACTTCCCATTTCAGCGTTTCCAGGTACTTTTTGACCATTTTTGCGACGTGAGGCCGAGCATTGTCGTGTTGGAGGATGACTTTGTCATGTCGCTCTTGATATTGTGGCCGCTTTTCTTTTAGCGCGCGACTGAGGCGCATCAGTTGCGTTCGGTAGCGATCTCCTGTGATGGTTTTACCCGGTTTTAAGAGCTCGTAGTAAATCTCACCGAGCTGATCCCACCAAATACAAATCATAACCACCATGTTTGTCTTCGACATCGAAAGCACCATTTTTAAAACGTTGAAACTACTCCCGACACGTTTTTTCACTCAGAGCTGCATCACCGTAAGTTTCTGAGAGCATTCGATGCGCTTCAGCTGCATTTTTACGAATTGTAACAGAAAAGTAAAACTTCTCGCAAATGGCGACATTTTCGAGCGTGAATAATACGAAAACAAGAACAACTGTCACTGAAGCGGCGATGACAATTCGTTAGGCACTGTCCACACTCACTTTAAAGGCATTATCGTCTATGTATATCAACCAGCTTCAGCCGCTACAGTCACCTATCGGAAAACGGCGGAAGCACCTGATATGTTTAATTATTTTTATTTCTTAATTTTGACCCTTTCCCTATATTTATATGTAGTCTTGCGACACTGTGCGCCGACGCCACCAAAAGTCATTCATTTGTCTGCCGCTGGTGTTGTTGTTGTCGCACACCAAGTTATTAACTTAACAAATTTACTAACGAATTGCCATATTCCACCGCGTTGCCAACTCGCTGCAGCTGCCGAGTATACGCAAAGCCAAGGAAGAAAAGTAAACAACAAAAAATAAAAAAGAATTTTTAGAAGCGTGCAACATTGCCGTATAAAATGCTGAAAACAGTTGCCACCGCTGAACTGTGGTGATGATCAACAACAACAACAACAACAACAACAACAACAACAACAACAACAACAACAACAACAGCAACAATAATAAAAAAAACATCAACGTGCAGCATCAGTGACGGGCACACAGCCTATTAGCGATAATGAACTGATGGCGCATGCGACTACCTGACGGACAGACGGAGATTTGGACGGACGGACGTACAATAGATGGATGGCTATTGCAGTAGTTGCCTGCTTGATCTTGCTTACCAACCAACCAACCGGCCGACCAACAAAATTGCCAACAACACACCATTAACCGAGCAAAGTAGAAACGCTTTATTTGCTCGCTTGCCAGCCAGCCAGCTTTGGCTCATCGCTACGTGGTTGCCCAGTAGTGTGGCGTGTCAAAGCGTTGAACCGTTGAACTGTTGAACTGGCGCTCAACATGGTTAGGAATGCTGGCTGATGATGATGCCGCTGTGCATAATTTCACGCGCCTCTGTTTGTTTAAACAAATAGCCGGACAAATGGCTGTTCGTGCTGCATTTAAGAGTTTTGCTTTGCACAATGACAGAGGCGATTACTATACACAACAAATAAAAACAACAACATTGCAACAACCAACATGTAAGTATTAATAATATCAGCAGCGAAACACCAAACACCAAACACCACTGACCTTTTGACTCAGCCGTCTTCGTTCCGTAAATCTTTTGTGCACGCGCAGTAATTACTGGGCAAAGGAGAAGTGGAACGCATGGTCGAGCGGTCGTTCGATATGTTGCGTCGCATCACTGACATGTCGAATGAATTTCGCATGCATTGCGAAGAACAAAAAAAAAGAGCTTAGGAATTGACATTTCGTTTGCATTTGGATCCGAAGAAATGAGTTACGCAAAATGTGTCATTTTTCTTCTTCTTCTTCAAATTAAGCTCTTGCGAAATCAACAAATATTTATTGTATGATAATATAATATATATATATATATATATATATATATATATATATATATATGTCTATAAGAAGAGCCGAGGTTCTTCTCCAATTTGTGGCGCGTGTCTTGTTTTTCCCAGCAATTGGAGGGACAGTTTATTCTCAGTTTAGTCTCAGCCGCCTCCGAACATCCGATGGATTTTTATGCGGTTCGGCTATTTTATATCAAGAATACATTCAAAGGATTTGACATATCAGACTAAACGACCACCGCAATTTGAAAAATTTAATTTCTACATATAATTTTGGATGTTGGTCAGAGGCGGGATTGTCGTCTGTTGGTGATCTTCCGAGCCGTAGTAGGCACTGCTACCACTCGGCTATCGCGCTATTATATATTTATGTCAAATCGACCAAACGTGTTTCTATAACAAAGTTCTCTCAATTCATTGTAAATATATTTTTTTCTTTCAGCAAAACAGGATCTCGGCACCAACACTTTCTCAAAAAGGGTCTTACTGCATAGTGGCTGCCGTAAAATCTCTAACTATAAACTGTCCCCGGATAAGAGTCGCGCAGCGGATGCTGATTATTCCGTAAAGGGACAGTTTATTCTAAGGGACGTCTGCATGGGACGGAGGATAGAGTCGTGTTCTCTAAAAGGATTTGGTCCTAGTTTCCAATTAACAGCTTAGGACTTGTTACCTTCTTAAAGATTGGCTAGAGGATCAGTCTATATTCCTTGAAGCAACGGTTGTATGGGACGACTGCTTGCTTGGAAAAAGTTATATGCTCTACAGGAACTTTGTATATCGTTTTCAGCTATTCGATTTCTAGTCTCCTCGAATGACATACATTTCAGGGAATAAGCATCCCTCGTTGGCTTTGTCGTCTCCTGATGCCTACTGTCGTCTGTTGTTCTTATTGTTATTGTAGTGGTACGCTAAACCCTGTTTAAGGGCAAATAGTTGTTTTTCCCTTATGAGACCCTCATAAAAATTATTTCGATGGTTTCCGATTGATGGTCTCAGAAAGTGGTTAGTGTCATGCTGGAATTCATGGCAGGCGGAGTCTGACTCTTTCAATACGTTCAAGAGCTTCCAGCCTTTGGTGGCGTTTACTCATTTAGGCCAGCAGGTAAAGCATGATTTTATCTCAGTTGTGGCTTGTTTGTTCCCTAGAATGATGTTGGACCGAAACCGCCGATTAAAGCTAATTAATTTGAGAGAGTAGTCTCTCACAATCAGCAAACGACCAACTTGACTTTGATCTTCCGAGTTATCAAAGATGGACTGGATTCAAATCGAGCACCCTAACCAAATTGACAAAGTTTTTGAAAGAGAGAGAGAGAGAGAGAAAGAGAGAGAGAGGGAGGGAGAGAGAGGGACGCAGAGAGATAGAGAGGGAGAGAGAAAGAGTGATAGAGAATGAGAGATAGTGAGGGAAGGAGAGAGAGAGACATATAGAGAGAGATATATAGAGAGAGAGGGATAGAGAGAGAGAG